TTTGCATTATAGGGGGACTGATTTTTTCCTGTAAGTCAGAAATGCCTAGGAGCGTAATAGTTAAGTTGCGTAATCGTTTTTAATAACCGTAACGCTATCTCAAATCGACAGCTATTAAAAACAATCGAAAAAGTGGAAAATTATGCCATTCATTCAAAACGCGATTTAATTTCAAAATACTCGAAAATCGGCGGTTTTTGGTTGACAAATAAAAGGGGAACAATCAAGGCAAAACAAGCGTTTTGGTTGAGCTTTTGTTAAGGCGAAAGCACCACAATAACAAATACAATTTTTCACAAACCTTTTCGTAACATGTCCCGCAAATCGTTTCGGCTAGGTGCTTGCTGCCGCACGAAGTGCAGGTGACGATGTCAGTCTTCGGCATGAAGAGCCTTGTGTATGAGTGCTTCCGCGTCATTTTCGTGGCTAAAAACCGAGATGATAATGCAACGGATGGTTTACGTTTGGTCGTGCGCGTCTTCGGAACGCCCCAAACGATTCCCATGTCCCGCACAAGGTCGCTCATCGTTGCTGGTGCTGAAGTGGACGCTGTCGGTACATTTGTAGCCAAGGCGAACGCCTGAAAACATTGATTGATAAACATCTTATAGTTACTAAGCTTACCATGTCCGGTCTGACAGGCGGGAATCTCAGCAAATCATCTATTGCACGCGCCGCTCTAACCAAGAAGCTACGCATTTTCTGAAAAGAGGAATTACAGAATCTTTGCTATCACATAGGCTTTAGAAACCGGGCCGAGGGGAACCGTTTGTCACCTAGTTTTACGACTCCTATACGTCAAAATGCGACAAAAATTAAGCAAGAACAGCGATTTTTCTGTAAGCATTTGAAAAGCTCCCAAAGTTATCAAAATCGTCTTTCCGATTTTTCTAGGTACTCTGGACATCTTGAAAGTTTCGGTATGCAACAGTTTCCACAACCGCGATAACGTTTTCCCAAACTTCAGGGATAAATTAATTTTTATTTCACACACACAGTTCGCGAATAGCATGCGAAAAGGAAAGCAGTGTTTGGCTTTATGCCGCATCATTCGACGATCACAACGACCCATAATTTAAACATCGGTATAAAAAGAAATAGAAAAAATTGAAACGCTTCAAAAGTCGTCGTCATCCTCCTCGGCCATCTCCTTGGCGAACTCCAATTCCTGAAAAAAGAGGTTAGAGTCAGGAAGCGAAAAATTACCTGTTGCTCACGCTCGCGCTGCTGCTCGATCGTCTCGAGATCCGGGTTGTCTTTCGGCGGGAAGCGCAGGGCTTTCACTGCGTGGTTGTGCAGTTCAAGGCAATATCTCAAAAAATAGTAATAGATAGATTTAAAAGCTATATTATACCTGATGCGATTGTCAAATTGGTGCTGCGGCTCAACCGTGCCGTAAATGTCTGCCACTTCGTTGCTGCGCAAGTATCTAAAAGAAATTAGTTAATACCAGGGTTGAAAAACCGCTTCGCGGCTTTTCAACCCTGGCCCCGTCCAGGACCTGTGAAAGTCCTTAATTTGCATGTTTCTCCCTGAATTCTAGCAAAAAAAAGTGAAAAACGGCTCCTCTGTCCCTTTATATAGGCTCCTCCTACTTCCGGCGCATGCTAATTTCCCCTAACAAACAGGGTTTTACAAAATCCTATTTTTAATAGCGAAAACCACAATTTTTCAAAATTTTTATGTGTGTGCAGTCGATTCCGGACCATTCTAAACCTATTGTCGTTTCTTCCCTATCCAAAAAACCCTTTCCCGAGGCTGTAGGTGCGGAACATCCAAACGGAACTGCATGCAAATATACACACACACACACACACACACACTATTTTTTATACATAGTAGGATAAAGTACAAAATTACCTCTTGGACTGGCCATCATTAGAAAGAAGTTGGGCGTCAATGCCACCATCAGAGATCGCCTTGGCAACCTAAAAAAACTAAATAAAATAACAAAATAAAAATACCATGTATTCGGTTTCCGTCGCCGTCGACAGCTGCAGCTTGTGTTGGATATCCTAAAGAAAAATGATAGCTTTTAATATCAACCTTACCTCGATGGAGATACGCGAATAAACGGCGGCAATCTGTTTGATCGCAGCGCGGATCACATTTTGCTTCAGACGGACGACGAGGGTCAGCGTCTCGTCCTGTTCGAACGATTTTCCGTGCTTCGCGATGATCGCATTGAAAGCCGCGAGGTCGCCGATACGAACACTTTGCGACAGCTCGAGATACGGGGCCAGGCAGCGGCGGAAAATTGGTTGCCGGAAGACGGAGCGCTCCGGGATGTCTCCCTAAATTCACATCCTTCAAAAAAAAATTAAAATACTAACCTGAAGCAAGCCGACAACAATGATCCACTTCTGCACATTCTGTTTGAAGCCGATGGCCGAGTCTTGGGGCGCCTTGCGGAAAGCCTGCAGGAAATAGCCGGACGCGGCCATGTAGTCGAGTTGCATGGCCTTGATGCGGCCTTGGTAGTAGAGAAAACGCGCCAGATCATTGTTGGAGGCGCCTTCCGGGAAGTTGACCTGAAGTCAGGGATAAAAAAACTTTCGGAAACCAGATACCTTTGTAACGAGCTTTGCCGCGCTGGGGTAATGGCGACCGACGAGATAGGCGCGCAGCAGCGTGTAGATGAGCACGGCCTGCGATTCGGCGTAGCCACGCAGGGTCGAGGTGCGCAGACGAGAGTTGAGGAAACTAAATACGATATTTTAGAAACCATGAACATGAAATACTCTCTAAGATTGTCGAGCGTTCCCGTTTTCTCGGCGATCAACGCGTAGTAGAAGTAGGCCTTCGCGACGATTGCGTCAAGGCTGCGACGATCGAGCTGGTCGAAACGCCTAAAGTTTGTTAGCAATAAGTTAGAGATTGCGAACTGGATGAGGTTGATGAGGGCCTGAGAAGACTTGTCGAGTTGGCCGGCGTCAAACAAGTAGAGGGCAGTCAATAGATGCAAGTAGAGATCGGTCTCCGGCGAGTTGACGACCGGGCGACGGTTTGGGCGAGGCGACCTAAAGAAAAAGGAAAATTTCGTCTTTGACATTTCCTCCTTACCTAGCCGGCTTTGCTGCTTCAGTGGTGTCCATCAGGGTATCTGGCTTCACATCAGGGGCCGGCACCCAGGCGAGAAGTTGCTCCTTGTGCAACTGCGAGGAGGAATAGCTGGCGTTGAGCAATTGATGAATGATCTAAAAATTCATTAAATCGATTTTTAATACACTTACCACGTTATTCAGCCCCTTCCTCGTCTTGTGGAGCACCTGCAACACAACGTCCGATCACGTGCGCCTCGCCCTTGTCGAGCAGGGCACATTGCTCCTTTATACCTAAGAAAATGTTGCAGATGCTAAAATCAAAAGCCTACGCTCAACGGCGATGGCGTTCAAATCCTTGGGCGGCTCGACGGCCTTCTCCTCGGCCGCCGGCTTCGGCTCATCCACCTCCATCTTTTCGACCTTGTTGGCGGGTGGCATCTAAAGAAGGGTAAAATATTAATTGAAAGCTAGTGATAGAGTCCATGGGAAGGGAAGACCCGGGACGATAAAAGAAAAGATTAAAGAAAAATGAGGTCAAAGTAAGCACAAGAACGTAAAATCGCGTAGTTTCGGGGAGGCCCGAAACACATAGTTTTTTTAGAACTTTCGATAAAAAGTAGTTTTCCGGGTTCTCACTTCAACCAACGAAGCCCATAGGGTGAAAGACTTTGTAAAAATTATTGGAAGAGCAAATTGTTGAGCCGTGCGGTATCGGGTATTTTGAGAAGCTTTCATGAAATTCAGCAGATTATTTTACACTTAATCAACGCAAATGATTCCTGAGCCTTCCCAATTTTCAGAGGATTTCTATTCGCGCGGTATCGCGTATCAATAAGGGGAACAATTACAAGGGGATTCGAAATAAAGAAACGAGTTTTAGCCCAAGTAATCTTCCTAAGGTTCTAAATTTCATAAACAACATTCTTTCGGGCCTTTTTTACAGAAAATAAAGATCGTAGAGTTAGTAAAAATTTTTAGAAGACCAAATTATTTAGCCGCGACACCATGATTTTGGGTAGTCGTGAGGGCGCCCCTTTCAATTGGTGTTAGTAGCCGCGCGTACAAGATTCCTACGACGGTGCCGGAACCAAAATTTCCTTTGCAAAACCAAAAAAAAACCCGAGAAAATCTCGGAAGTCTTGCGTTAGACCGCTAGGTTCTGTTGAAGAAATAGAAGAAACTAAAGAATCCCGTGAGCACAACCTAATTAGAACGAAACATTTAGGAGTGGATACCGAGTCAAAACCCCAAAAAATTCGAAAGTTTTCTTATTTTCAGCGAGCTGAAAATACAAATGAAGGAATGCTACTTGAACACGGCAATTCAAGCAATGGTTTCGGTCGCAACGAAAAATAGCAACGACTACGCGACGCTCCAATACACACCGTTTCGAAGCAAACTCAGGTCTAAAACCGGAAAGCCTGGGTCAACTAGTTTTAATTCAAAATTTAGTTTTTAGATAAATTTTTTAGTTTTCTGAAAAAAATTGCAAACCTAGGCTGAGTTTAGGCTTAGCTTAAGCTTGGCCATGGTTTTGGCTTAGTTCAGGCTTACAAGGAGATGGTTTCAGCTCGGCATCGCATTTGACTTGAAAATTACGTTTGGCTTAGCTTCGGCTTCGAGACCGGCTTTGGCTGGTAAGGGCCTAAAGGAATCGGACCCCCCTTCCCAACTTCAATAGCTCCGGATTTTCTTACCTCAGACGAACCTTATCGGAGACGATTCGGACTGGTTGTCCAGCACCCATGGTTGTGTGGTAAAAAGGCTCAATTGGGCTGTTGCATTATCAGTTTTCAGGAGGGGAGCTCTTTTCGGCTGAATTCTTAGCTGGGCCACGTCGTTCTTTATGAAGAAAACTCCCTAGTTACCAAAGTTCTAATTTAGCTTTCTCTATTTTACCATTCTGGATACATCCCATTCGCAAATTACGCGTTTTAAAATACCTAAAAATTAAGCATGGCGTTACGCGGTAAAGACGGGCCTGGTCTCGTCAACTTCGGAAAGGAGCAGTCAACAGGCGTACCATTGGAGCAACTGGTCAGTGGAGCTAAATCTATCTATTCCATGGATTTCCAGGTTCTAGTTCGTTAGCGGAGGGCGGGGTCAATTGCCTCTCTTCTCTTACATTGCATTATGTTGAGCTGTGTAGAAAGCTATTAGTATATTTTTTGTTTAGCTACCCTATAGCGTTAAAAGAATGTCGAAAAATCGAAAATCCCGAAAAATAGTTTATCAACCCCATTTTTAGGGTCATTTCTGCTTTCGTTATACCTCTTTTAAACTATTGGGTTTTTATCTAGAATTAAAAGTCTTAGGATATTTCTTGATGCTCTATCGGTCGCGAGGATGTAGTCCCCAAAAAATGATGAAATACTGAAAAATCTACGACATTAAACTCCGCCCTCGCTATTTCCCCCCCCCCTCGCTAAAGAACCAGAACCTATTTTCCAGATCAACCACGCGGCCACCAAAAAGATCTCGATCTCCGTGGCCGAGAAAAGGAGCTGGTGGCCGGATGGTCAAATAAAAGACGTGATCCGCACCATCCATGTGTCCAGCTCGGCAAACTGGTCGCCTGAAGGGATAGGCACAAAAATTTCGGGGCTGCTAGGCGCGTGTGGCCATGCCCTCAAACACAAGGAGGTACTCATCACGGCAGTTTGTTCAATTTTTGCATGTATTTCTTGGTTGTTGTCGGCGTGGATCATGCCGCTACTTGGCAAGCTGTATTCTTTCATTGCTCTGCTACCAGGATATGCCTCATTTTTAATCCTAACAATCTCTGAGGCAATTTTTGCCTTTTTCGGGGCGGTTTTCACTTACACTTCATTTTTGTTTTTGGCGTTGTATAGTGGAATCTACACATTTTTTGCTCTGATTTTCCACTACACGGCTTTTCTACTTACGACAATTTATGGCGTGATCTACTCCATTTTGGCCCTTCTAGTTCAATATTTTTCCTTGCTCGTCGTGACGTCGTGGAATTCATTCCTTTGTCGCACTTCTTTTCGAATACTCTTGGCTACTTATTAAGATGTTATATGGCGGAATTTACTTCGTACTTTCCCTGATCATTGGGTGTATTGCAATGCTGCTGCCTTGGGTATATACCATGATTCCGTTTGTGATTTGCTCCTACATTATTGCTAAATTTTTTTGTGCGGATGGCCAGGCCGGGACGGCAAAACGGCGAGCCCGCAAAGCCCCTGCCGGGATCCCTAATTTCGTCAAAATTTTTGGCGTCATGCTTTCAGGGGCTTTAGTTTTGTACGTGAAACCCGAGGAAATAATCATTTCCATGTCCAGTGTTTCGTTCCAATGGTTAAAGGGAATTTTTGGTGGGCAGTAAAATGTTGTCTTGCCTTTACTATTTCGATTTCGGTACTGGACTGTCAGTATAGGATCAAAATTAATTTTTGTCTTGCGTCTTGCCCTACTTGTTGATAATAAATAGTATCTTTTTATATAGTTTTTCGTAGTTTTTGATTGCTAAAGAATTACAAAAATATTTGAAACATTTGAAAATCGAAAATCGCCTTTTTGGTCGTTTTCGCACATTTTTCAGTAAAAAGCCAAAAAAATTTTATAATGTTTTATGAGCTTTTTATATATAACAACTCTTTACAATGTTAATAGGGCTTGTAGGAGGACCAGATTACTGGGAAAAGTTAGTTCCCCGCCTATCAGGTCCTCGGGTCCACCCGAAATCCGGTTGGCATCTGCTCGCGAAATCGATCGGAATTCCAGTAGCGGACGCGACCGGATTCCACGTGGAAATCGACCGGATTGCGGGTGGATGCACGGTAAATCAGTTGGAAATCGACCGGATCCGCCCGGTTTCCACTTGCGGCACGCGTTGCGTCGTGTTTCCACTCGATTTCCTGTGCGTCCACCCGATTTCCAGCCGATTTCCATGCGTTCCACCCCAAATCCAGGCGGAATACAACCGGATTTTGGGTGGACCCGAGGTCCTGAGTACTAAAATCCAGACATGGCAATTTCGGTCGGCCGGCCGCGGCCGACCGGCCGACGGCCTCATTAGCATAAAAAATCGGCCGTTTCCGGGCCGCCGATCGGCCGGCCGACTTTTTTGGTCGGCTCGGCCGCGGCCGCGTCGGCCGGCCGACAATTCACACTTGAGAAAAAGTTTCACAGAAACGTGTAGCTGGCGCCTCAAAATTTTGAATAAATAAGGAATGGGTTTGGGCATTGGTTTTCACTATTCCTTAGGATGCCTGCCTACCAAATTTTATTTAAAAATCTTTATTTTATGTGGGGAAAGCGTGCTTTTTATGTCAACCCTGAATTTTTTTGGAAGGTTGCCAGCTTCAAATATAGTTCAATTTTGTAGTTTCAAGTAACACACAAAATTAGTCAGGATGTTGCTATGACGAGTGGGCCTATAGTTTCCTGAAACTTTTTTTAATTGAATCGTTTTGCGGCGATGAAGCAATTAGTGATGATAAAGCAAAGCAACAGCCGCGTCAAATCCGTTGTAATCACGTCTAACCCTAGACCGTTGCAACCCCATTATTTAACTAATTTCCTCAGTCTAAACATTAGTAAATCCCTTCATTAGCATCCAAGAATCTAATTTGGTTGCGGGTTTTCGGCCGTTTCCGGGCCGCGCGGCCGGCCGACATTTCGGCCGGCCGATTTGGCCGCGGCCGCGGCCGACCGGAAATGGCGGCCGGCCGATTTCGGCCGGCCGCATTCTAATTTTTTCGGCCGAAAAAGCCGATCGGCCGGCCGATTTGCCATGTCTGCTAAAATCCCAGTCCCCCTGCTAACAGTCCAGTGCCTCCATACCTTCGTCTATTCGAAATAAATTACGTTTTTGAGGAAACAACAACACGTTTTCAAAATGCTGACGACGTAGCTCGGAGCTGCTCTGCTCACGTATCGCCAGCCACACCGGCGCACCGCCCCCCTCTTTGATAAGCGCAATTTTTGGGCGCAAGAAAAATGGGTGGCGCGTCGGAAAATTGCACGTTGTGCACTGCATTGGCACAAACAAGATAAGGCTGTCGAAGTGGAGGAATTTTCTAAAGCGTGCCTATTTTAAGGCTATCGCACTCTAATACTGCCCACGGATACAAACCCCAGTTTAAAAACCCGATGATGAAACAGAAAGCTACGAAGGAGCCTGCCACGAAGGTAACCCAGTTCTGGTTTGTTAGCGGGGGGGGTTATCGGGGGGAGAGAAGTTAATGCTGTAGATTTCTCAATATTTCTGGATTTTTTGGGATCACATCATCGTGATCCGGTAGAGCAACAAAAACATATCGTCAGGATTTTACTTCTAGATCAGAACACAAAAATGAAGAAAGTTTTAACAAAACCAAATAATAACGCTGAATATGGGATTGGTAAGCTATTTTACGGGATTTTCTATATTTTTCGACATTCTGTTAACGCTATTCGACACAGAAAGTCAAAAAAATATACTAAGCGTCTCAAAATAAGTTAATTTAAGATAAGAGAAGCTTAAAAATGTCTCCCGCCACCTCGATACCCCCCCCACTAACAAACTAGAACCCGTAACCTCATCAAAGTGAAATGAAGCCGTACCAGAACTTTTAGATTCCTGCACGCTCCGCTTTGGAACAAAGAACTCCCTGCGACGTTTGGAAATGGAATGGATACAAATTTCCGGCCCTAGAATCGTGCATCCAGGCGGGATTTTGGGCGTTCCTTTTCTGCATCATCTCATTGCTGAGCCTTACTTCAACCCATGATAAAACCTTACCTGAAGCAGTGGCTAATATCTTCTGCACAATGCTCGAATGCGGTTTTGCTACTTTGTATTTTTCTGGTATCGCCTGGACCCTGAATGAGCTGTTTCCCCAGTATTGGGCTAAAGAATAATACCAACATTTGTGCTATATTGTGCTATTTTTGGTTTGATTAAACAAATTCTACTATCTTTGTGGTTGTTTTTCATAAACAACATCTTCACGATTGAAAAAAATGTTTACAAAAAGGACCTTGCGTCCGTTATCTCTACCGGGGGCGTCGCGTCGTTCATGACAAGGCGAATTTTTTGGTGCAAGAAAATTATTGAGAGCTCTAGCCCCATGCTCCTTCGCATATTGCAGCGTGGAAAATGAGCGACAGGTAGGGATCCTTCGAAAAATATGAATGTTCTTGAGGATGACAAGATCGAAGACGAGGCAGTTATCACATAGACAAGCTGCTGAATCGAACGGGAAAAGTCATGGAGACAAGGAGCAGACTGTAGAGGTAGCACTCTTCGTTAAAAAATTCTTATAATATAGACTCATAATTATTATAGTTTATAACTTATAAAAATTGACCAAAATTTCCAGGAAGCTGAAGAAAACACCGCATCTACAGCGCAAACGGAGCCTCCTTCTCCCTCTCCTTCAGATGCATTTTTATTTTTGTGCGACGGCTACAGAACCATTAACCCAGAAATGCATACAAATGTGTGCCTCTGGACCTTTGTCTTGTTTTGCATTTCCATGTTGAGCATCAGCCCGATCCATGAGGAGACTTTTCATGAGGTATCTCTCATGATCCTTACTGAGATGCTCCAAGCCGCCTTTGGCACCTTTTATTTCTCTGGTATTGCCTGGATTCTGAGAGAACTTTTTCCGACTTATTGGCTGAAAAAGTAAGATCTTTCCTTTACCGATATGTCGAAATAGACTAATTTTCATAGCATTTTGGTCAGTTTTTCATTAAGTTTAAAAATTTCATAAAAGGTTATTGAGTTTTCCAGGTTTTTGGCTTCTTGGGCCAGAAATATAAAAATTTGACCAAAAGATAGAGGAATTTCAAAAACATTTGTGATATTTGTGACTTTCTAGTGGTGGAAAACTGATGGAAATGATTATGAGAATCCATTATTTATTAAATCATTCAATTTATTTGCCCTTGCTAACCCCCACCCCCGCTAACAGTCCGGTACCGCAAAGTCTTTTCATTCCTACTTGCAACCGTATCTGTCGGAAACTGTTCCATTTTTGCAGGACTTTTCGGATTCATTAAAATTTCTATCATCGTTGTGTGCTACGGGAGCCCCGGGCATCATGTCATGGACGGGCTGATTTTGGTAGAAAGGAAGCGAGTTCCAGTGGTATACAACCTGGACTGCATCAACCCGCACCTTTTTCCGTCTATTTAAAAATAAATAGTTATTTTATTGACTGCCCTTCCTTATGACATCGTATAGATTGGCGCCATGCGCATTTTTGAAGATAATAGATACGGGCGACATTTTTTTCGAGATCGCCAAAGTTCGAGGCCTAAGCTCACCGCTCCCTTCAAAGTACTTCGGTTTGGCACTTCTGGATGTTTAATTACCTAGATCCAGAGACTTCCCCAAGGAATGTGAAAGTTTCTCCATTTGCCGTGCGCGCAGGTCCTCTTTGACTTGGCTTGAGCTTTGCCGGTTCCGAAATATTTTTGAAAATACTTTGCCGCATGTAGGAGACCGTGCTCCCCGTGTCGAGTAGGGCTACGCATGGATGGCCGTCTAGATGGATGGGAACGACTGGCAATGCAGACGCTGATGCCAAAGTTGCGATCATTGCGACGGTGGTAGCCAGACGTTGCCATGTGGCTGCCATGCTTTCTGGCTTGCCACGTCTTGTTCGGATCGGTGCTGGCCTTACAGGCTCGATCTTCACTTCCGGTTCTCGACTGATGACTGCGCTGATTTGGTCCAACGGCATGGTTTGTAGCTCGTCGGCGCTTAGCGCATTAGTGTGTTGAGGTAAGATGCTGCGCACGATTCCTGTCAGCGATTTCGTCGAGGTCTGGATTAAATAGATTTTAAAGTAAAACACGGCGAAGGCGACGAAGGCCAAGACCACGAGCAAAGGGATTCCTACCCAGAGGACTATTTTTAACGCCCAACTTTTGACTTCCGCTAGAGCGTCCTTGAGCACCACTTTGCCTTTCTCCATTGCTTGTCCTGCGGTGTCTTTGGCCTTGTCAGCGACAGTCCTGGTATAATTCTTGACTTCGTCAATCAGGTCGCCTGCTCCATCCGTAGTTTGCCGGTATTTCGATTGAATGTCCTTCATCCACTGGATCGGGGTGTTTACCCATTTTCTCGGACCATCGGATAGGCTTTGCCGTGCCATTCGCTTTCCGAGATTTGAATTTCCCAGTGGTTTCTTGGCATTGTTTGCTTTGAAGTCCATATACAATACGGCTGGTGCGATCCTCATTCCGCGGCAACTGATCTCTGTGCCGTTCGGAACGATATCCATTTCCGGTACTTTCAGGAATTTAATTTCGCCTTCATGCTTGATTGGGACTTCCGCGAAACACCGTTCTTCTACCCGTTGGGTTTTAATTACCATGGATTCGGTGAGCTCGATGGTTTGGCACTCACTCACGATGAACCGGTTTTCATCGATCATTTGGGCCAACAAATTTGCTTTCCCAAGCAGTTTCCGCGACGCATATGTCGGATTCACGGCTAATTGAAGTTTCCAATAGCGAAGTTCCTCTGCCTGTCGGTTACATTCGACTTCAAACGGATCATGGATGCTTGCCTGAGGCTCCGGTGTCGCTAACAGATCGAGTTGCTCCCTTAACTCCTGAATAAGCTCCTTGAGGTTGTCATCAACCGTCTTCTGATCCTGCAGCCGTTTCATCATCTCCTTGAGTTTGAGTTCCAAACCAGCTGTGTTTGGAGGGATCGGGTCTTCCTTAGCCTCCAATTTCTCCAGCCTTTGGATGATGTCTCTGAGCGTTTTTGCGCGTGTCGCCTCTTCGCTTGCCAATTTGCTGGATATTGTCGTCGTGATCGTTTCGGGTGCTGGAGTATTCGCCTGGATCCTGGCGTCCTCCACTTTCCGTTCTAATTCTCGCAGCCTACCAACCACATTCTGGTTCTTTTGGTAGTTGTAAAAATCGGCTAATTCTAACCTCATCGAATCGATTTTTGCTCCCGCCAGATCCATACCTTTCTCGATCCACGTCTTATTCCATGCTTCAATTTGTTGCCAGGCCCGACTGATCCTGTAGAACGTAGACCCATTCACTTGCTCCACTTGGTTTCCAATACGATGCAGGGCTTTTTGCATTCTGATCAATATCGCCGACTGATTTTTTAAATCAAATTCGGGGTCGAGAAGTGGGTTGTATTCGAAGGCGATTTGCGGGAGTGCAATCGCTTTGCCGTTTGGGGGCGCCTCTCGCTTCTGTTTGCCATTTTCCCGGACTATAAAGAGTCCTCCGGATGTTTCATACCCGATTTGCTCGCATTTTTTGACGGGCTCTTCAGATGTTAGCCCATCTATCCATCCCAATTCTTGAAGATAGACTCGGGAATAATCCGTTAATACATCAGCGAGCTTGATGAATTTGTAGTCACATTTCGTCTCGCTCAGGTCTCCCCAGACGGTGATTCCGTTGTAAAGTCGGATCTCGTTCTTGTCCAATGGGGCTAGACCAGGCGTTATGGTCAATATGATCTCATCTTGACCGCGATAAGCTTCCCCTTCGGTGACCTCAAAGCGTCGGACTTCTACGCATCGCTCTCCCCACCAAGGTGTCGTAGGTGAGTCATCTTGATCCGTAGACCAAAAATGTTGTGACCGTCCAATCAATTTCCTGTTTTCGATAGTTCCTTTTTCCACTGCGTGGCGACATTGTTCGGCTGAGATCTCATCCGGAACACTGGGGGTGGCTTCTCCGCTTTCAAATATCCCCAAGTACGCTCGACGGCAAGCCCTCACTTGCTCCACCGAGCAGTGAAAGCTTGGAACTTTCTTGAAGTTCTCGTTCCGTTCGTAGACTTTCGCCGTCCATCGAACTCCTTGATGGCTTAGGGAGCAATCTGATAGATCCGGCAGGTTGATCAGCCTTGGATTCGCCGTCTTCAAGCAGTTCACCGCTGTCAGTCCGCTCACGACCGGGAAACAGATCAATGCCACTATCGTGCAGATCGTTGTGAAGTTCCAGATTCCGTTTCCGCGGTTGCGCTGGCTTTGTTGCGGGGTGGGCTCGACATACACCTCCGGATATTCTAGATCATCCGTGACATGGTAAGTGGCGTTTCTCGCCTGGAATTGGCCTTGGGGCTGTGGGTTCTGGTTCTGAGGAAAACCTTGATTCTGCTGCCATTGATTCTGCGGCAGGAATTGTCCTTGGGATGGGCCGCCTTGTTGCCACCATCCTTGTGGTCCTTGCCAAACGTTCGGCCACCATCCCCCACGTCCTTGATAACCTCCGCGGTTTCCTCGAAAGCCTCCTCCGGAACCACGGTTTCCGCCTCGACCGCCTCTTCCTGGCCATCGACCACGTCCTCGTCCTCGGCTCGAGAAACCGCGTCCAGAACCTTCCGTTTGAGCGCGATCCACTCTTTGCTGATTGGCGTTTGGCTGTTGTACTTGAAGCGCCTTTTTGTCTTTGGCTTGTAGATTTTTCACCTTCCGTTGTCCCAAGCCGATTCTACATTTTTGTTTTAATTTGGCATTTTTAAGAAAGAGGGAATGAGAGATGTCAAAGAGAATGGAAGCAACAGCTTAATTATATTTTATTGTGGGCATTTCAATTTCCCAAATAGACAAAATTCGTTAACTTGTAAAAGAGAGAATATTATTTTTTTTTGCGTAAAATTTTGTCTATTTTAGATGCCCAATGCCTGCTATCTACGCTTATTTTGATAATGATTTACATATTATTTATTATTTATTTTTGTTTTGAACTTTGAATCTACCGTTTAGTTACATTTCTATTTTGCTCGAAAGTTTTCCGGTTGGCCCCTCTGGTCTATCTAGCCGGCTGTAAAGTTAGTGGCCCAGTGTTCCTCTAATCAGTGGAACTTTCCCTCCGGGAAAACGGGGACGTGAAAAATTGCTCGGCTATCGGTTCGACCCTTTGAGCAGGGAGATCGGGCGAACGAGGGTTGGGGAGAGATTAATTGCCTCCTCTCCGGGTCCAACCTTCCAGAGTGGGGCCCCGGTTGCGACAAAAAAAATTACGGTAGTTGATACGAGACTAAAGCAAAATATGAGGCTTTAAATTTATTAGAAATCCATCCGCTACACCTTAAATAAGACTTTTTGGATTTATGTGATTAATTGACTTATCTCACCAAAATATCATGGATTTTCTAATAAATTCAAAAATATTTCGAATTCTTGGAATGATTCACTTTCGTATAACAATGTGGATGGGCTTTTCAGCGAAAATTTTAATTTTAATTAATTTTTTTTTTAAGTATTTGGAATATACAAAAATTTAAATAGATAATAATGGAAAATAACGTAATAAGAAATTTAAGAATTTTGAGTGCTCATCCATATTTCCGAAAATAAACCTTTCAAATAATGAAAATAAAGATCACAGGAAACGAAGAAGAGATATTTCCCCATAGGGCCTATTCGAATTAGGTTCCCTTAAAGTTAAGAATCTCTAAAACTATTTCCAAAATAAACCCGTGCACACTAGATCTAGCAGAGTCGGTCACTGTGCGTTAAGCGAAACAGTGAGGGAAAATCGGGGATTCGAAAATTTTGGAACGCCGTGGCTTCATCTTGGGCCCAGATTCAGCACTTTCACTTCTAGAATTTTTCCGACTCGCCTTTTTGGTTTTACGATGGCCATCGATTTAGCCTCCGTAAATTCTTTTATGACCCTTGCGCTTTTCTGATCTCAAGTGACTTATTTTAATAGCGAAATTTTGGAGTGTCAGGTACCTGAGACGGCGTTTCCCCTAATTATGCGCAAAGGGCGATCTAGTGGTAGTCGAAAGCTCATATTCTTGAGACAACTGGATAACTTTTGGGCAGAACGGAGGATTCATTGGCTATCCAGCTAAGGGTTACTCCGGTTTTTGGAAAGAGTTATATCGAATTCATGTGAGGTGGGACCTCCATGTTATATCCTTATATATAAGTGTTAGTTTATGGATATAGCGTGTGTGTAGTCCTCTGTTCTCTCAGGGAACGTGTAGCTGTGTGTAGCACTGCACTAATTAGATTCAAACCTCCTCTGTAATAGCTCTTCCCAAAACTCCGATCTCAAGAACAAAGTCCGCAAGCAATCGACCAACCTGACTGTGCATTTTCCTCCGAAGACAGAATTATAGACTAGACCTTTTATAGCACCTTAATATGAAAGCGAAACATAGCGGGGAAGATGCCAAGGGAGAGGGGGGTACGGACTCCCTGAAGGAGATCCCTGGGCCTTGGCCCTAGCCAGGCCCCGCCCTTCGCATCTTCGCCTTGTTTTAGGCTTTTGTGCTTTGCTTTTTATAGAGTTGCTAACACCTGGAACCGTCACGCTCGTACCAGCATCTCGATTCGAGCCCAAACAAATGCACAAAAACTCAATCTTATTTTCAGCTATCGATAGGTGATCTGCGGCTTCGTGATGCGCAAGGGCGACGGCATATAACGACGCCACGAGGCGGATTTTCGCCTCCGTTGCGAGCAGGCTGCGAGTATGAGATCATTGGCGTACAGAAGAGGTATAGCTGAATTGATTCGGAACCTTGCTCACTCTCTCACACTATATCACTCTCTGTTTCTCTCTATATCTCTCTCGCGCTCGCCTCTCTCTCTCTCTCTCTCTCTCCTGTCTCTTTCTCATGAAAAAATTGGTTTTTGCGGTATCGCGACGACTCTAATGTTTATTGAAGTGGTACCAATCGGTGTTTAGGCGTGGTACCCGCTTCACTTATAACGGGAAAACCGAGACACTTTCGGGAGACGTCAAGCCAGCAAATGTTTGTGCCGAATTCCAGGCGAGGCATTTGCACTTCACAAAACTTCACAAAACTGATTTTCAGCTAGAAAAACGTGGACTACGAGTTGTTGACGGTGATGGGAAGCTGCATATAGCAGCGTCACTGACCGCGTTCGTACCCCCGCTGAAGGAAGGGGCCAGCTATGAAGTGCAGGTAGTGGGGTCGACCTCGGCTGGGCAAAGCAATGACGCGCAAATGTCGATCAGGAGACGGTGAGTGCGAGCATTGCTCGTTTCTTACAACGTTACTTGGAACTTGTTGCGTTGGTTTTGCGTTGAAATCGAATGGAATGAAGATGGTTAAAAATTTAATTATTCTAGCACTGCAACTGAATGGCACCTCGCTGACCGACCACAAGGCGATGAACCTGACAAACCAGATTTCGACGTACAAGTGGAAGGTGGCTTTGAACATACCATATGGATTGTTGTCATTTTAATTTTCTTTTTCATCGCGTACAAGGCAGTTTTCTGTTGAAATGGTTCCTCGTTTGGCCAGGCAAATCCGTCTAATAAATTGTATCTATGCAGTACTACCTGACGACAGAAAACTCAAGTAACTGCATACAGAAGACTAACTGTATTTCTGATAGCTAAATTCTACACGGTTGTTGTGTTGGCACCGGATGGCAAAAGTCCAATCTTTGCCTACTGCAATCGATTCGAGCGGGCTGACCATTTTCTTGCACCAAAAAATGGCTGCAGCGCGCTGCAATAGAGCTCGTTTTTAGCGTTCCGCTTTTCCATCGACAAGATAAGGCATAGTCAATTGCTCCATTTTATTTTATTACATTTTATTACAAGTTTTTTAATGTTTGAAAATTCTTTATACTCATTTTCGTTGCGAAGCAGAGCTTTTTCAAAAAATCTGTACCGGCATAGCTCCGCATTTCCATAGTTTTGTACTTAGTTATGCAGTTGTATCCCTTGAAAAAACGGATATTTTCTTGTAATGGACATTTTTCTACGACGAATCTCAAGCTTTTTATGAGGAAATCAAAATAACAGCCGCAAGCCCAAGTAGAAAAACGATGTAGGCGCAATTTGCATCCAATTCACGTGCGCCTAATCATTATATAAATACATTTTATATACACTGAAGCTATTCTATGCCCTTCTAAGTTTTTTTACCATGGTGAGGCCGTTTTAACATTTAGAATGCCAATTTATATCACTTACGACGGCGAAACCAAGACGATTTACGGGAACGTCGAGCCAAACGATATCTACGATGCATTTAAGGTGAGGTATCGGACGTCTTTTCGTGATTAGTTACCTCACGCAACCCGATTGTTTTTTCCAGCTTGAAAAAGGCACTCTGAGGCTTTACTTGGGCAACAAGTTACACCTGGCCTGCAAGCGAGGTGGCTTCTTGCCTGCATTGCAAGACGGGGAAACGTACGAGATCAGGGACGCCGCGAAGAGGCCGACGAACGCCGTGAAGCCGTGCAGGTGCTTTTGGCTGGCTAAAAGTCTATAACTTAAAAAATCGCCTGTGAAATGACAAAATGATTTTGAATATTGTTGCAACCTCGCCGTTTCAAGGGCTTTCGAATGGTATACCTATCGTTACGACCAGATACTTCTGCTTCCACTTAGAAGGGGGGGGGGGGGGGGTTTCTAAGGTTCCGGAGTGTTAGGGGAGGACCAAATTTGCTCCCGTAATTCAGTACAGCCCTACAGGGAAATATCAATCGCTTTATAGCATTTCACATAGTTTTTATGGTGATCAAAATTTCATAAACCCTTCTAAAAATTTTCGAAACTTCTGTTTTATAAATTGTTTGGTCAAAATGGATGAAAAGTGGCCAAAAATATCAAGATTATTGCTTTTTCAAAAATTTGAAGCTAGATCAAAAACTAGTAAAAACACTTTAAAAGACATTTTTTTAATTATCAACAGGTAGGTAGAAACGGAAAAACGAAGATTGGTTCCCGCGCTAACAGCCTGGAACCGTTTTATCTAGCGTTGAAACGCAGTTAATACCCTTTAGGTTTTTTTGATTAGAAAAAACTTTAATTTCAAACTTTAATTTGAAACATAATAGTTAGAAAAACCCAGATTTATAGGCGAAGATGGCGAGACAAAGACGAAGAGGATAATAGCATGCAAATGGCACTGATCCGCTCCAGCCACAACGAGAAGCCGGACCAGATGATTCAATGGGATGGCAGTGGCGCTCTCCAAATCCACCTTCCCATCAGGAGGCACCTTGTCTCGAAGGCCGGTCCCTGGTTTTACGGTGTTATCTTTGTACTCCTGTTAGTTACATACCTCTTCGGACCGACCATCCTCTCCGTTCTCATGTACCTCACCCGGCATACCGTAATTTTCATGCTCGCCACGTGTTCTTGGCTCCTACGAACGGCAGTCACTTTTGTGATCCCAGTCCTAAGCGGTTTAATCGACCTCATTTCCGGTAGTGTCTGGGCCTTGCTTGTAAACTTTATCGACCTCCTTGACTATACCTTTTATGCCCTCCTTGACGTCGGCCGCACGAAAGCCATCAAAGCCGCCGCCTGGATTTCGATGGCGTGCACGAATTTGGAGTTCGGGGTGTATGTGCTACGCGTTTTTGCCACTTGCCTGGCTATTTACGTGTCCCCTATCTTCTACAGGATCGAAGAGCTACCCCGTTTCTTACAGCCGCCGTATCGATTTTTGGCGGGATACTACCATGGTTTTCGCGATAAAATGGCCGTGGCCACAAAGCGAGCCCGGCAAATTTTTGCGTTCTTGGCACCGGTTTTCAATATATTCGGTACCATTTTGCGCTTGATCACCGTGTTGGCCCAATTTGTTGTTGATAGGTTTGTGCGGTAAACTGTAATTTTGCTTAATTTATACAGAATATCCGTCCCAATAAATATATTTCCATTTTTTCCAAAAAACTGCTCAACTGGGGTTTAAAGAGGCTCCGAAATCTGGTCCGCGGCCCCTGCGTGACGCGAGGGAAAGAAAATGTCTCTGCGTCCCGCCCCTGCGCGCGTTCTCTGCCCTGTTGCCTGCGTGCCAAAAACGATTAGGGGTGATCGACCGATGTCGTCGCTAGCCCGTTAAGGTCTGAAATATTCCAAGTCATGACAGCAGAAATCAGTCATCTATTAGAAGCCAAGAGTATGAAAATGCTTTATTCCGAATATATCACACCGGCACATTGCACAAAAGTTTCCGAAATCGTTGGAAGAAATGTTCGGTGGAGGGCTTTGGGGGACAACGGCATCGCGCCTACTTCTGCTTCCGACAGTGGCAATATTTCCGCATATCAATCTGACGGGGTGCGACCTTTTCCACGCAGTCTGCCGTATTCCCGTATGCCGTCAGCCGCTCGCTCAGCGCCAACAGACGCAGCCCACCGTCGGCGTTCGGATCGCGGCGCAGCGTCTGAACGAAAGCGTCACGTGGGTGGTGGACAGTTAGCAACTGCGGGCAATTTAACGAGTTTTAACAGGTTTTTAGGTTTTTTCCGATTATCGGGGGTGGGGGGAACGGAATTTTTTTCTCAGGGCTTTTTCTTTCCTGTTTCAAATATAAATTCTGTAAGTGTTTCTAAATAGCTTTTGATTATTCCTAACCGTGAAACCTTAACAAATTTGTATGGAAAACTATCGAAAATATCAGTTTTTCCGGAAAATGGCCGGCTTTTTACGAAAATTTCCTTTTTTTAAAAAGTTTCTGAATAGTTTTTATGACGGAAATATAGTTAAATATCACTAAAAACATTTTAAAACCACTTTTCATTAAGTTACTAGACATTTCTAGACATTAAAAAGGTTCGCCCCCACCCCACCCCCGATAGTGCCAAGAAACCGATTTTTACAGGACCGAAAGCTTTTGAAAAGTCGAGAAGACCAGTCGCGTTTCGTTTGCGAAACTGGACTGTTATCGGGGTGGGGTTAGCGAGACAACCCCCCGCTAAGAGTCAAATACCGCAAAGCCTACCCCTTCAAAACGATGTTGCCCAGGGTTGACGATGACGCTGATTATGTAGATTTGCATCACGTTTTCGGGAGCCATCGCAGTGACCACCGGCACCTGACATTGTGAGGTTGTGTTAGCGATGAGGGTTCTGGTCCGTTAGCAGGGGGACTCTCAATAGACCTCCTAAGAGGCCTGCTGGGACAGGAAGAAGGAGTGGGCGTGGTTTTACCCCTCGATAACCCCCCCCCCTGGCTAACGAATCAGCACCGCGACGAGATGATCGAGTTCGCATCTCATAATTGTCCCGAAAATACACCAACCTTGTCTAACGTCCACTCTACACATATATCCGTGATATTGTTGTCGCGGACTTTCTGGTTAAGGGCCTCCATCGTGATTTGGGCCATTCGGTCGAGGTCGGGCACGTCGTTGGGTCTGTGAAGACACGGTTAGAGAGAGAGAAGGAGAGAGAGAGAGAGCGAGATAGAGAGATACCTACATTTTCGGGATCTTATCGTATTGGCACAGGCAGTGTTCGGTAGAGGTCGGTACGTTCCGGCATGTACGGTGGCTGAACGGTCCGAGGGGGCGTAGCAGTGACGTGCCATTGTTCGGGTTTGGCTTCAGAATCTCCTTGAAGTCGAACCGCAGATGTGCCTCGTCGAAGGAGGTCTGCAAAAAGGTTTCGACAGAACCCAAGATGGCACTGGTCCCCTCCGGCAATAATGATGATGATCCCCCCCGCACCAACCTCCAAAATATCCATCAGCGTCGCGTGAACGTCGTACTGCGTCACAAGGTGCTTCGCGTTTTCTTGCAGATTTTTGATCAGCTACAACTCGTGTTGTCGGACGCGGCAATTGGAATCGACGGTCGGTTCTTTCGCATTATCGGGGGGGGGGGGCACATTTTTTTGTATTGATCTAACGATCTAGATCTAACTGGGGAAACCAATTTCTTTCCTGGCGTTCCCGGTTGGCCTAGAAATTAAATATAAAGTGATTTTACATTGGTTTTAGTGAAGTTTAACTATATTTAAAATAGAAAAACTTTCAAAAAAGTTAGAAAACCATTAGAAAAAGTTGAAAATTTGGTCATTTTGGGTCGAAAAAAATGAATTTTTCGACCTAAAACTAACGTTTTTTAATGAAAATTTTTATAGTTTTGTGCTCAGGAATAGATAAAAACAGTTTAAAAATGCATCCGATATTTGGAAAAAAATGAAGCTTGGGCCGAAAACAATGCGAATCCCCCCGATAATGCGAAAGAACCGGACACTCACTTGCTCGTGTCCACGCAATCGTTCCGGGACCACAGTGACCAGCAGCGGATTGTTCACCTCGTAGTGTCCGATTTTCGTCTGTGTCAGCTGATTGAGAAATCGAATAACAAATTTGAAGATCTGCCTTACCGGTCCAAATCTGGGTCCGTGGTCGCCCATGAAGAAGATGAACGACTGGGACAGCAGCTCCCGATTGTCCTGGAACCATCGCTTGAAATCGACATCGGCGTGGAGCAGTTCGTTCGGGTCGTCGTGCGCAAGGTGGCTTGGCCACAAGAAGCCGAGCTTTGGGTCTTCTAAAATGCAACTTACTGGGGTACCTTCTGAGGCGAAGGTGGTCCGCGACGCCCCTGGTCCCAACAACGGCGTCGGCCAGGAAGCCTACAAACCGCTGGCGGCCACTAGGCTTGGGCCTACGCTTCGGCTTCGTTAGGGGCTGCGCGCTTCCTCACCCGGATATGCCTTGAGAAAGTTGGACAGATAGTCGAGCAGCCAATGGTGCGTCTCCCAGCAGCCCGCCCTCATCCTGTCACTCAGCGAGGGCCACGTCCACGCCAGGGATGCCGGTCTAAAAGTCGAAGGTGCCGCAGTGGCGTCTTTCCCGAATTTGACGCACTCTGCATGGTGATGCGTCGGCTGGTAGCTGTAGCCTTTGCAATTCGGCGACGCCCAGATATCGCCGTACGAGGTCTCGCACCCGAATAGCGTTTTGTAACCTAAAATTTCGGGTAAGAGTCTAGTTTACCTCCCAGCCCTGAAGTTTGAGCCGTACGTCCTATTAATGCGTGGAGTATCTCAAAATGTTCACCGTGGTCGAGCCACAATAAAAAAAAGTTGGTTCCGTGCGGCAAACTTTGCTAGAAATTTTTTTACAAGATTTTGAAGGTTGAAAATATTAAGCCGCTGTGCTTCAATGTACTAGGAGTCTAAAACTCAAATATTTTTATTTTCCGCTATTTTTTCGACTCAGATGCAATGTAGGCTTATTCTACAGAAGAAGAGCTACATTTTGGTACCATTGACAGCTCTGTAGGACTAAAGATAGCCGAGATACGAAAACTCACTTTGGACCAGCAAAAATTAACTAAAGAAAACCCAAACTTATAATTGTTATAATTATTTTTCATGATAAATCGACCATGGCGAGAACATTTTGAGATACTCCACGGCGTGGATTCCACGCATTAATAGAACGCATGGTTGAAAAGTTACGGCTGGGGGCGGGGGGTAAACTGAACTTTACCCCACCTCGTTTCCCATAATCCGTGACGACACCGGTGTCGTTGTCGCGGTACTGGTAGCAGTATTTGTCCCGATTCCATTCCGGAGCCAGCTCTTCGCCCGTGTACTTCATCACGGTCCGAATGCGTTTCCCTGGCGTAGCTCTTTGTGAACGGATAAGCACTTTACCGTGCAAAAAAGCAAAGGCGTTCACCATGCTGTTCTCGCCGACCCTATTCAAAAAGGGCCACAGCACGCCGCCCATTTCGTTCACCAGGAAGTCGAGGGTTTTTGGGAGGGATCTGCAAGATTTAGATTTTCAGATTTTAGATGTTCTATCGAATCACGTCTTCAAAAGCTAAAACGCGTTGCAAAAAACCCGAGAAACTAGCGAAAAATATTGAAGTCCTGTCCAATCAACCCCCCCCCCCCGCACAGTTTTTTCCCGCTCGAAATAGAACAGAGCTTTTGGCTACGGTTTACTTCCCCCCCCCCAGCCGGAAGTTTTTGGCTATAACTTTTTTATTTTACATTATTGTAGGCTCAAATTAAAACTCTTAGTATATTTTTCGACGCTCTATCGAATGGCGTTGCAAAAATTCCGACAAAATAAGGGAAAATACCGACAACTTTGAGACCCTTCTGCTGTGGGGGGGGGCTAAAGTAAACTCTTAACGAGCCTTTTGCCATAACTTGTCTATATTGCAACCAGCGCCCGAAACCCGCTTCGCGGCCCATGGGCGCTGGAATGCGGGTGCATCCGACCACATTCGGCAAGAAGGAGGAAATTTCCATTTTTTTCACATTATGCAAATTGGCGCTTCCGGCCCCCCAAAATAGAATAAATCCGGCTTTAACTTTGTAAACTTGTATTTTATCGAAATTCTGAAAACGCCATCGTAAAGAGGAGTGTCGACTACCCCTAGCGACGAAAAAAAGGGGCATTTTGGACGCGGGAAGGCCCTCAAATCAGGCCTCGAAGGTGAAATCTACACACACCCACACACACAGAGATACACCCCAAAATTATATAAATAGGATACTCTGAGCTAAAAGAAAAGCTTTTGGTTCGATGCTCTAGAAATATGCTATCCCGAGAAAAGAACGAGAATATCGAAAAAGACGTCTGTTCTGCCCCCCCTACGTAGCAGAAATATAACTCGAATCCCTATCAACCTGACGATACCTCTCGGCCTGTGTCATAGCCACCGAATCCAGTACGATTAGAATGACGTCCGGTCGGCGGGACGATGGCGCCGACGTCGATGCCTGGCTTGTCTTTGAGTTGTTTCTAAACTTACGAAAAGTAAGGTTCTACAATCTGCCGATTCACCTGTAAATCTGATTGTGGAGGAAGGCGTCGCTGAGGTTCGACTTCAGGTAGCATTCCGAGTGGATCCAGTCGCAGTTCATCGGCTCGAATTTACCGCGCGTGAGGTTGACCCAGTTCCCGCGACCCAGCTCCCTCGGCCTCACATAGTACAGGCACCTGTAAAGGCAAGGGTTTTCTGTTAGCCCGCCCGCCCACTAAAAGGTGTCCCAATATTACCCGGACGAAACGGAAAAGTGACGTTGAATTTTTCAATTTTTCCTCTGTTTTCGCCCACCACATTGTATCTCATAATATTAAGACCTTAACAAAAGTTTTGAAAATTCGAAAATTGTGACCATTTGGTCGTTTTTTTATACATTTTTTGACCGAAACGAAAAAAGTTTTATAATTTTTTATGGACCTTTAAACGCTACAAACTGTGAGTGCTAATGCAATTAGGGGGGGGGGGGGCAGTCCGAAATTGATAGCAAAAGGCTACGAGGAGCTCTGCTTAAGCTACTCGGTTTGCAGCCTGAGCCTTGGTTTAAATTAGCTTTAACTACGCTTAGCTTAGGCTTAGGCTTAAGCCCAAGCCCAAGCCAAGCTTATCTTCAGCTTCAAATTACCTTACGAGGTCACGATGGGTCATTTAGGGGGTTAGCTCTTGGCTCAAGCTAAGCTCAGCCTTCGTTTATATGAAGCTAAGCCTAGGCTTAAGCTTAGCTTAGCTTTTCCAGAGGCTTCGACTTTAAAAACGGCCGTTGGAGCGTCTTGTATTCCAAATCCGGACTGCCCCCCCCAAGTGCATTAGCACTAATCCCGCTAACCCCCTCCCCCCCGTTAACAGATCAGAACCACATCTCGCGTCATAAATGTGCAGCTCTTCATTTCTTGCTACCGTTAAGTTCAATACCTCGCTTGGCAGCTGTCCACCCTCGAGGCCCAGAATGCCGACTCCCGCAATCCGATTGCACCGTCACGCAGTTCTGTGGCCGGGACCTAAACCAAAAAAATCCAAGTCGGAAGGCGGCCGCCCACATATCCTGGATTTTTGCAGGGCCCCGGATTGCGGGCAAAGCCTTTCAACTCGGCGGGCAGCGGATTGTAGCGTACAAGGCGGCAGGTAGAGAACGGATCCGATGGGTCGGGGTTCGGCGGGTCTGAAAGGAGTGGATGCGGCTGAACTCCAGATACCCCCACCCCCCAGCCGGCTCCCAACTTGTGTAGCTCCGCTCCCTGTTCATCTACAGGTGTTTTAAGTATGCCAAAATATTTGTCAGAACCAGACGAACATTTTGGTGTATCTTACACACCTGTAGATGAACAGGGAGCCGAACTACGTTGGGTGGGGGTCGGCTGGGGGGAAGGGCGGGGGAGGGCGGGGAGGGCGGGGTAAACTGAACCACAGCCGTGGTTTTTATGGGCACGCCCTGTACAGGGCTGCTTGGCAAAAGTTGAACCTTCCCCACCGGTGTCATAAGAGATCGCAAATTCGGTGTAGAGACCCGAGGTATTCAAATGGTTGTCGTCGCAAGGAACAGGAGCTACGGGGAGCTTTGATGGTGGCTCCCGGACTCCTCGTTTCCAGAGGAGTAGCAGACCAATGATCACCGCGGTGAGCACCAACAGTCGAGCCCGCCTTTTTTGAACTGAAATACGAGGTGGCGAGACTTAAACAATCGCAGCAGTCAAAAACCATCCATTTCTTACCCATGGCAGAGACGCTGGCTTCAAGCAGTCGGAAGACTGGAAGGATGATAGGATGAACACAATAACGGCCCTTTGTTTTTTTTTTAAAAATGCGGTACCGAAATTAAAATTACCCGAGATATGTAAATTTACTCAAATTTTATCCGAGGACCCCTAGGGTCGGTGAATTTTACAAAATATTTTACAAAGAATGCATTAGAATAAAACATAGATTTGTTGATTGTTGCAAACTCGCCGTACACTCGAGAGCCACTCGAGAGCCATACACTTCTATTGGGATTGGTCAGATTTACGTAAATCGTTGATTCGCAGGTTGCGTTTCAGGTTTAGGGTTGGCTGACCCTCGTTTCGAAAGAGCCGGAGCTGAGGGGGTCCTGGAGTCCGACTCACGATTCGGGCGGCGTTCCCAGCTGCCGCTCATTTCGTGGCCGACCCTGATTTCCGGTAATGCCCTCAAAATGTATTGACAATTTATTACACATAAATAATCACGACACAATTTATTGCACCATGTATAAAACAACCAAACGACAACTGGAGAAACCCGAACGTATTTATTAAAGCGAGGAGGATCCATCACAAGGGTGCTGGGGGCATTATTCCCGCGCCTTTTTGCAATAACAATACGTCCGCATATCGGCTCGGAGGGCTGTTTCTGTTTTGAGAACACAATTGGCGGTATGCCCATAGCTGGTCAGACGCTCGCTGAGTGATAGTAGTCGCACGCCGGAAGCAGCTTTCGGGTCTCGGCGGATCGTCTAAATGGTTCTTCTTGCGTCACAAGGGTGCGTGATAGACCCCACCGCTTCGAAACGATGCGCCCCCGGGTCAACGGTGACGATGATTTTGTAGAGTTGTGTCTGGTCTTCCGGCTCCACGGCTGCTACCGTGTCTATCTGTAATCAAGGTCATTTGCAGTTTTCGAACGCGAACTATACTTTATCCCAAACGTGATTTTACCCGTTTCAAGCGCCAGTCCTCACACAAATGTGACACATTGTAGGTGCGAAGTTTCTGGTTCAATCCAGTAACCGCGACTTGGCCCATACGGTCGAGATCGGGCACGTCTCCGGGCCTGCAAAGGCACGGTGGTTAGAGTCAGAGAGAGAAAGATTGGGAGCGAGAGAGAGGGACTGATTGAGACCGAGAGTGAGAGAGCGAGACAGACCCACCTCTTCAAAATCTTGTCATATTGGCAGAGACAGAATTCGGTGGAGACCAGCACGTTCCGGCAAGTACGGTGACTGAACGGGCCGAGTGGGCGTAGCAGTGACGTGCCATTGTTTGGATTCGGCCTCAGAATCTCTTTGAAGCGGAACGGGAGAAATGGTGCGTCGAAGTCGGTCTATACATTGGAAATTTTCGGTTTTCTTCGTCAGCATTAGCTTCTCGTGCCGATTCAAAAACAATTTTCGACCGCCGCGATGTTTTTCGATTGAAAATACCTCCAAAATGTCCATCAGCGTGGCGTAGACGTCGTACTGCGTCACCAAATGCTTCGAGTTTTCCCGTAGGTTTGACATCAGCTAAGATGCAATGTGAGAAAATCCCGGGCTATTGCATTGCAAAGATCCCGCAATTTCGAATTTTAAAAATTGAAAAATATTTTTGATAACTTTCTAGCAGATATAAAGCGCTAAAAACACTACAAAATATGTATTATATCATCAACCAAAAATTGCCTACTCGCTTATTCGCTCGCAACCATTCGGGGACGACAGTGACCAGCATCGGGTTGTTCGCCTCGTATTGTCCGATTTTTGTTGTGGTTAGCTAAAATGAGTCGCATCACTTAAAGCAGTGTAATTTCTTACGTTGCCATATCTGGGCCCGTGGTCGGCCATGAAGAAGATGAACGAATCGGTGAGCAACGGCCGATTATCGTCAAACCACTGCTTGAAGTCGATGTCGGAATGGGGCAGCTCATTCGGGTTGTTGTGTCCGATATAGGCCGGCCAGATGATGCCGAGCTTCGGGTTTTCTAAAGGAAGGTACTTTGGCATTATCGGGGGAGGCAAATTTTTCCTATGAGTGTAAAAACTTCACAACCGAACAGTAGTTTTTCAAAAAAACTTTGAGTCAAATGGACAATATTCCAAAGGGAAAACTACCTAAAGAAACTTCAAAGACCTCGAAATTTTGTCGAAAAATTGGTATTTGCCATAGATTTTTATCAAACAGTTGCTACGCATTTGCTTTTAAGCATAGCTAAAGAACGCCTAAGCTTAATCTTTTTGTTTTTATTCCCACTTACCCGGATACGCTTTATAGAAATTCGACAAATAATCGAGCAGCATATTGTGAGGTTCCCAGCATCCCTTTGCCATCCGGCCCAGCAGTCCCTTGATTTCATAGAAGGAGCCGGCAGCTGGACTAGATTGGTTCAATTTTAATGAAAATAATTATGATTTAAAGTACCCGAAATAGTGATGTGTCGGCTGGTAGCTGTATCCCTTGCAATTCGGCGCCGCCCAGATATCGCCGCCCGAGCTCTCGCACCCGAATAGCGTTTTGTAGCCTTAAGTTGAATTTTAGCTCGAGAGAGAGCGAGAGAACGAGCGATAGAGAGGATGTGAGGGGAAGAGAGAGAGGATTTATAAATCTACCAGGGTTGAAAAACCGCTTCGCGGCTTTTCAACCCTGGCCCCGTCTAGCCCTTTGAAAGTGCTGAGTTTGCATAATTCTTGCCGAAAACCGATCACCAAAAAATGAAAACCTCGCCCTCCCTCCCTTTTATAAGCTAGCTCCACTTCCGATGTATGCTAATTTCCTCCTAACAAAGAGGGTGGCAGATATTTTAACAAAAAACCTATTTTTAATAACGAAAATCACAATTTTTCGAAATTTTTATGTGCGTGCAGTCGAATCATGCCCCTTCTTTACCTACCAGATGGTTACAGTCGCTTCGCGACTGCAACCATCTGGCCTTCGGGCTACCCTACATGTCCTACTCCACCATATCCTTCCCTACCTCCAACAATACCCACGCTAACGGCTTCAGATACCCCCCATAGCCGAAATCCCTTTCAAAAACTACCTAAATACCTTCCTGATGGCTTTAGATACCTCCCCTAGCCGAAATCGTTTTAAAAAAAAACGAAAATAACGACCGACCGGATGGAATGAGAGAAAAAAAAGAAATGCAATCCCCCGTGAAAATTTTCATCCACGAAACGCGCGCCACCTGGCTCACTATGTCCAACCTCCGTCCCCCACCCCTATTACTAAGGAAAAAACTTTCAAAGTTAATTTTAATAATTTAAATTAAAACTTTTTCATAATTTTTTTATCAGTTTGGGGGTTTCTGACCATGCTCTATCCGAATCCGAAGAGAGCTAAGCTCTAGCTCCTTTCCCCTTCGAGTTGAATTCGGGACATGACGGACAGACAGACAGACAGACAGACAGACACCACTACTTTTTTATTATAGTTGATTGTCGTTTCTTCCCTACCGAAAAAATGCTTCCCTGAGGCTGTAGGTGCGGAACATCCAAACGGAAGTGCATGCAAATATACACACACACACACAGACACTATTTTTTTATATATAGTAGGATTTTTTTGCGATTTTAGGCATTTTGTTGACGCTATTCGATAGAGCATCGAGCAATCTAATAAGAGTTTTATACGGCTCAAAATAATGTAATTAAGATCAGAGAAAATATTGACAAAAATGTCCCCCCGCTAACGAACCAGTACCCGGGAAGCGGAGGCATTAAAGTCCTACCGCGTTTCTCATAATCCGTGACGACACCGGTGTCGTTGTCGCGGTATTGATTGCAGACTTTGTCCCAATCCCATTCTGGCTCCAGCTCTTCACCGGTGTGTTTTTGCACGCTGTTGATACGCTTTCCTAGGAAATAAATTTTATAAAGAAATTTTGTTACAAAAAAATATAATTTTATATCTTATGGAACTTTAGTATTTTTTGTCATTAACATACCATGCAAAATAGCGAGGCCATTAACCATACTGTTCGAGCCGACGCGATTTAAAAATGGCCACTGCACGCCGCTCATCTCGGTGACCAGAAATTCGAGGGTTTTTGGGAGAGATCTAAAAAATTAGAAAGAGAGAGTGAGAGAGAGTGAGAGTGAGAGAGAACCTGCTAGAAATATCTTCCCCGTTACCTTTCCGCTTGTGAGGTCGCTACAGAGTCCAACACTATTAGAATTACATCCGGCATTCCGGAAGTCCTCTTTGCAGGGCGCTCGCCAGTCTCGGATTTGTTTCTAAAAAGAATCCAAAACGTCCAAAAAATTCGGAAAAGCACAATAATAGTTAAAAATGTACCTGTACACTTGATTGTGCAGAAAGGCATCCACGAGTTTCGATTTCAGGTAGCATTCCGCATAAATAAAATCACAGTCCATCGGCTGGGGTTTGCCGGACTCGAGGCGGAACCAGGGTCCGGGGCGGAAGCCTACCGTACCATTGTAGTAGTGGCATCTGAAAGTGTCGCTTTCCCGCAGGAAACTATAGCTGTTTCAAGCAACTCTCTCAACTCTTACCAAACACGCTCCTCGAACTCGACGCAGAAATATCGGATCGGTTCTTTAGGATTCGCGGAGGGTGGGGGGGGGGAACCTGGGTAAGAGTTTACTTTACCCCCCACAGCCGAAGGGTCTCAAAGTTGTCGGTATTTTCGCTTATTTTGTCGGGATTTTCGCAACGCCATTCGATAGAGCGTCGAAAAATATACTAAGAGTTTTAATATGAGCCTACAATAATGTAAAATAAAAAAGTTATAGCCAAAACATTCCGGCTGGGGGGGGGGGTAAAGTAAACCGTAGCCGGAACCTGAATTTCTTTCGTCGCAAGCCTAATTTTTTATCAATAGCGGATGCGTGTCTAAATTGCTTTTAACTATTCCTAAGCATAAAAACTACACAAATTTTAACTAAAAATTTAATTTTAGCCCGCAAAATCCTATAGAACCTTTAGGATTAGCGGGGGGGGGAAGACCCAAAAACCCAAATTTCAAACATCACCCAAACCTTCAAACATTTCAAACAAAACCCAAACCCAAGCCCAAATTTTCGATTTTTTTAAACATTTTTCTAACTTTTTTCAACGTTTTTCTACTTTAAATATAGTTAAAATTTACTAAATACAATGTGAAAACATTTATATTTGTTTACTAACAAGGAGACGTTTTTTAGTGTGAATGGAGTTTTAAGTTGAAACCAGGCCTATTCTGTGCAGAATTTTGCGCTGATTCTGATGCTGTTTTCCAATTTTGCTAAATAGCTCGATTTAAAAAGTTACAGCTATTTTAAGATCATTTTTAGGCCCAGAGTGGTCATCTGCTATGCTGTGCTACTTTTTTGTTATAACGTTTTAATTTTGTTTAAGTAGCCTATCTTGTAGAGAATTTTTTTCTGATTCGAATGGTATATTTGACTAGTGCGCTACTGCCGATCTTCGATGGCTTACAGGGGTGAGAAATAGGCTGTTTTTCACCATTTTCCATACAAAAATCGCAGCCCATACCAAGTATCGTCGATTTTATCGATTTTCAACAATTTTGAGTTAAATAGCTCATTCGATAGAGAAAATTTTTCTGAATACGGTGACAATATTAATTTTTGGAAAAACAGCCGGGAAAAGCAATATAATGGTCCCTAAAGAGGGGAAAATTTGGGCTAAAATGATCTTAAAATTGCTGTAATTTTTGAAATCGAGCTATTTAGCAGAAATGGAAAACATATTCGGAATCAGCGCAAAATTCTGCACAAAATAGGCCTGGTTTCCACTCAGAACTCCATTCACATCAAAAAACGTCTCCTTGTAAGTCAACCGGGACCGTCAGGAAAAAATTGGTTCGCCCCCCCCGCTCCGCGAATCCTAAAGAACACACCGCTCGAAAGCCCTTGAACGACGAGTTTGCAACGATGTTATTTTTTCCCCTTTTTTTCTTCTTCTCTCATAAGGGAAGTGCACGACCGGCCCACGAGAAATCGACACGAGACATAGTGGATCTGATAGAATCGGACACGGGCATCCGAATCTGTAATCAGAATTTGCTAAATTAAACGGAGAAAAAAGTTATGAAGCTTCAAAGTTGGTAAAATCGCCCAAAATCGGACCTTTATGGGCCTGTAAAGGCCCGGGGAATGGAAATTTGCCACAACCGATTAGTGCATCTTGTTCAGCAGAAAAAGCGCTTTCGAATGAGCTATCTTACTTCAAGTTTTCGATGATTTCGCGAAAATCTCTTCTATGAACTTGACAGGCCATACCCTTGCCCGTGAACCCAAAAAAACTTTTTTTCAGTGAATTGTTTGCAAATGCTACGTATTACAGCTCATTCAAAAGCGCTTTTTCTGCTGAACAAGCTGCACTAATTCTTTTCTCCTCAATTCCGTTCTCCCGGTTTTTACGGGCCCTTAAAGGTACCGTTTTTGGCGATTTGGCCAACTTTGATGCTTCATAACTTTTTTCTCCGGTTAATTTAGCAAATTCTGATTACAGATTCGGATGCCCGTGTCCGATTCTATCAGATCCACTATGTCTCGTGTCGATTTCTCGTGGGCCGGTCGTGCACTTCCCTTGTCAGGCTTTGCATGGTGTAACTACCGTTTTCATCCGATACTTCTGCGTCGAGTTAGAGGGTTTTTTGGAGCACCTTCTAGAATAGGTACCTCGCCTTGCAGCTGCTCACCCGGCGGCCCCAGAACTCCGAATTTCGATAGCCAATTGCACCGTCGCGCACTTCTGTGGCAGGTAAGTATTCAGGATTTGTACAGTAGGGCGTGTGATCGGCAAAAATCCCGTTCAACTCTGCCGGGAAAGGTTTGTAGCGTACGAGTCGACAGATAGAGTACGGATCGGCTGGGTCGGGGTTTGGCGGATCTGAACGAAATGAATTTCCTGACCATTCGAAAGCTCTTGACACGGCGTGTTTGAAACAATCCTCAAACAGGTAAGACTCCAGATACCCCCCCCCCCCCCAGCCGGCTCCCAACTTGTGTAGCTCCGCTCCCTGTTCATCTACAGGTGTTTTAAGTATGCCAAAATATTTGTCAGAACCAGACGAACATTTTGGTGTATTTTACACACCTGTAGATGAACAGGGAGCCGAACTACGTTGGGTGGGGGTCGGCTGGGGGGAAGGGCGGGGGAGGGCGGGGGAGGGCGGGGGGTAAACTGAACCACAGCCGTGGTTTTTATGGGCACGCCCTGTACAGGGCTGCTTGGCAAAAGTTGAACCTTCCCCACCGGTGTCATAAGAGATCGCAAATTCGGTGTAGAGGCTTGAGGTATTCAAATGGTTGCCGGCGTGAAGAACAGGAGCTGCAGGGAGCGTTGATGGTTGCTCCTCGACTCCTCGTTTACAGAGGAGCACCAAAACAATGATCACCGCAGAGAGCACCAACAGTCGAGCCCGCCTCTTTTGAACTGAAATACGAGGTGGCGAGACTTAAGCAAGCGCAGCAGTGAAAAAATCATCCATTTCTTACTCATGGCAGAGACGTTGGCTTCAAGCAGTCGGATGTCTGGAAGGATGGACACAATAACGGCCATCTATCGATTTTCGAAAAAATGCGTTGCCGAAATTCCAATCACCTAGCGATGGAAATTTACCCAAATTGCCCCACCACGAGACATCCCAGGCCCCCGGCCGTCCCCCACCTGCCGGATCTTGTCTCCCTGTTCATCTACAGGTGTGTAAAGTATACCAAAATACTCGCCAGAGCCAGGCGATACGATACGAGATGATACCATCGCCAAAAACTCATGAAATATTGAACAGTCTACGACATTATCCGCCTCCTCGCCTCCCCACCCCGATAAACTTCCACCCCCGCTAAGCAACCAGCACCGAAAAGAGTTGGTCCCCCCAATGACCCTCCCTCTCTCCTTCCGCCCACAATAACGCATAAGTACCCAATCGGGAATACAGCAATTATTGAAAAAGTTGAACCTCCCCCACCGGTGTCATAGGAGATGGCAAATTCGGTGTAGAGGCCAGATGTATTCAAATTGTCGTCGTCGAGAAGAGCAGGAGCTACAGGTAGCGTTGCTGGTTCCTCCTTTACTCCGCGTTTCCAGAAGATTAGGAGCCCAATGGTGATCGCAGTGAGCAACAACAATCGACTCCGTCTGTTTTGCACTAAAATACGAGGTGACGGGACTTGCGGAAATGCATAGATTAAAAAATCCGGTTCTGGACTGTTCGATAATAGCGTTAACAAAATACCGAAAAATAGCTTACCAGCCCAGTTTTCAGGAATATTTTTGCTTTTGTTACAACCTTTTAAAAATCTAGTGTTTCTACCTAAATTGAACTAAATTTCTTGGTATATTTTTCTGATGCTCTACTGGGCCGCGGTGAGGAAATCCTTAAAAATGAAATATTCAAAATCTAGGGCATTTTCCAACTCCCGCTAAAAAACCAGAACCGAAAAACTTGCCCATAGGATGTGGATGGTCAGCGTCAAAAAATAATAGTATGCTATTAAACCATGGAGTATTAAAAGTTACTCGAGAAGTGATATTACGAAAATCACAAGAGCAGCCAAATCAATAAGGGTGCAGCTCGGGGATTAGGCGGGCGTGTGTATTTCCTTGCAGACTTAGCGATAACGGCCCAGTCCCAAAAATATAGCGGCTTATCTTGGGGCGAAAGGCTCCCCCCCCCCCCTCCCCCCTCCGTGGTCAAGACGATCGTTCACGGGGCGGAAACGATAATGTGCTGATGATTCAGCCGAGCCGCCAAAGATGGCTATGTATGGAATATGATGGCTGTATAAATGGACGCCCAAGAATCGGTGAAGCAAGGATAACAAGGGGGGAGCGGGCACTCAAGGCTAAACAACTTTGTAAAGTGATCCCATATAAACTGTTTTTATTCAGGCTGGAATTTCTTGGATTTCTTGGAACGGGACCATGCAGAATCGTGCTCGATCTCGTGCAGAATTTTTCGCCGTTTCCGAACCATTTTTCCAAATCTGCCGCGGACCTTTATTTAAACGTTATTCGACTTTAGTGCTAAAAACGACCACAATCTGGGTTTTTTTTGCGTTGTTTTTAAATTATCTTCAAAGTCAACGGACGAGGGGATCCTTGGTCTTCGGTCGCGGGAGGAGGCAGACGTGATTCCCGCACTTTTTTGGGCTTCTTTTGGAATATGGTGCATATTAATCAAACAAGGTATAAATTCTTTTTATCACAAAATCAATGCTTTATCCCTCAGGGGAAATATTCGGGCAGAGCAGCACGGATCGCTTTTTCGAAGTTCGGCTCAATCAACTTCAGTGCGTCGTCCGTGTAGTGGTTCCAAGCGTCGTAGTAGACAATGTTCGTCACGCGGTCGTACGTCTGCACCCAATTCTTCTCCTTGTCTAAATTTGATAAGTTGCTGTCGCTGTATCTACTGAGTGTCTCAAAAAAATCGATCCCAGCGAAGATCCCAGAAGCGCCCGATTTTGACGATTTAGGTATGTACCGTAAGGGTACTGTTCTATTTCGAGCGGGGGGCGGGAAGTTGCGGTGCGGTAAGCTACTGCTTTTTGCCATAGTTATTTTATAATACACCCCCCGACCGTACAGCTTTTCCCCGCTCGAAATAAAACAGAACCATCCGCCCGATCCGACCTTCCTCGAACCCGCCAGAGAAGGGGTCGATTTCTTTGGGACACCCTGTCGAAGCCAAACTGAGAACGGAAAAGGCTTACTTATAAACGGCGATTCGATGTCCACCAAATGGCACTTTTTGCATTGCTGCAATAGCAGGTTAATCCGCACTCGCACCGGATCCGCGGCAAATTTCTCTGCCTGGAACAAGATTCGTTTTGATGTGAACGCCGGGGAACGGCCAAGCCGCGAAATCTTCTACAAAACCCACGTTATAGGGAAAATTCAGCCTGGTCAAATCCTGGCCATTCTCCAGCGCCGCGATGACATCATGCACAAGTCTTCTTTGCCCAAAGTATTTCGAGACCTCGAATGGATGATGGCTGGAGATGAATATGTGGTCGGCGAATTTTCTGAAAGCTACTTTTGGATGGTATTTCGCGGATGAGAATGGCGGTAAGGGGTTTTGCGCACTTTTTTGCATGGGGCTACGGTTCAGTTGTTTTTGAAAAGATTAAGTCGTAATACAGAGCACCCGGTGTTTATAACCCAAATATTTTTATTTTTCGATTTTTTCGACTCAAACGTAGGCTGATTCTACAGGGTGTCCCAATTTTTTCTTTCTTTATTTTCGTTAAAAATGTAAGTGGAAATGGGGTGTTTGAAGAGGGGCATATTTTCAGATACTTTGTGAATTAATGGGATGACTTGGGGGCAAATACTGGCTGGGCGGGGGCATGTAAACTACCCTGCGCGCAAATCCGGTAGCTAAAATTGAAACGCCGCCCGTACGAGAGACGATTGACGGCTTGCAACCAATAATTGAGTGCCACGTCGTTGCCAGGGCGGAGAGGGACAGCGCTGTCCGGCCAAAGATATACTTCGTAACTAAATTGTCCAAGGTCGCCAACGACATCAAAATCCTACCGCATCAATATAAAAACAATGTTTGGCTTTTTCCTCTGCTCCATCTCCTCCCAGAACAGCTTGGTGAGCTCTGACAAGGAAAAAAATCCTTGCCAAAAGCCCACATACTTTCATGCCGATGGAAAACGATGGAATATGAAGCGGCCGCATACACATCCAGGCTAGCGGTCATACTTGGAGGCAGAAATTTGCGGACGATCTGTAAAGCGCATAGAAACAACAATGGTTTACTTTCCATGGTATCAACAATGGTTCAATGGTTCAACGTTACAAACTACGGTTTACCGTACCCCCCCCCCGCGCCCGAGGGTCCCAAAATTTTCGCAATTAACGCTATTTTTTCGAGATTTTTCGACGCCATGCGACAGAAAATCGACAAAAATATGCCAGCTGTTTTAATCGCAACTCTAATGTTTTTGACCGCAGCGCAAAAGATTTATAATATAAAATAATAGGGCAAAAACGAAAATAACCTCCAGAAATGGCGTCAAAAAGTTGGTTTTGGCAATGTTTGCTAATTTTTGGCATTCGATACGCCATTCCCTGGAGCAACGAAAAATATGCGCGCTACTCCACTCTACTAAGGGTTTGAATTTCAGCCAAAAATAATGTAATATATAGAAACGTTACAGCAAAAACAAGATTCAAACGCGGTTCCCCGATAGCAACAGGAAGTGCAAAGTTAGTTTTCGACTTTTCGACATTTTTACAAAATTTCTTTAACGCCACTCGATAGAGCGTCAAAAATATACTAAAAGTTTTAATGACAGCCCAAAATAATGTAAAATGAAATAGTTATTGCAAAAACAAGCAAAACCGGAATAACCGGAATAAGCGTAAACACTATTTTAATTGTATCCTACTATATATAAAAAAGTAGTGTCTGTGTGTGTGTCTGTGGACACTTTGCATAAATGACTCGAAAAAACCGGGTTACCAAGATATCGGGAAGGGGGAAGAATTTAAGGACCAGGTCGAAAGGTATTTAGGGGTAGTCGCGGGCGTAGATTACTGCACGCTTATCAGATTTTTAATAAAATTACGATTTATACCTTATTTTAGCGATTTAAAAACATATGGAAATAACCTCATTTGCATACGAGGCGTTAGGAAGCTCATTTCGGATTTTGTCACGCTCTCAGTCGGTCGCTTTTGTGATTATTAGGGTGGAGAGGTTGGCGATAACTCGCTAGAATTATGGAAAGTGCCCAGCCTCGAAAGATCTCCGCGCAAAGGCCAGGGGTGAAAAGCCGCGTAGCGGCTTTTCAACCCTGGTAAATATTAATTTTGATTTTTTCGCAATTCCCGGCCAGCGGATAGTAGCTGGGACCTAGGGCTACCGGGGTTTACCTGTTGGGACCTTTCGGCTGGGTGGGGGGTAATGTGAACTTTTGCCACAATGGCTGCAACACCTACAACTTGTTGTTGCACCGCATACGAATTTCCGACGACGACGACTCGCAGCTGACCCGTGTTGTTCTGCATTTCCCAGACTTTCATCCCCACGATAAACGACTTGCCGGCCAAACGTAATGCCCAAACTGATTTTTGAATCCATCCTTGACCAGGGTGGCGGGTGGCCAGTAGGTGTCTAAAAAAAATAGTCGCCCCAGAAGCAGTAGAGAGAAGGGATTTATCATATCTTACCAATATATAGCTATTCACCCTACGGTTCTGGACTTTTAAAGAGGGGGGTGGGGTTTTAGCGTGGGGAATACGACTTTCTGTGTTTTTTTTTCTGCCTACACCTACCTACACCTACCTGTTGATTATAAATCATGTACGTTTATAGTGTTGTAACAGCTTTTGATTGCTAGAAAGTTAGAGAAAAATATTTTTTAATTTTGAAAAATCGAAAGTTTTGACCTTTTTTACCACTTTTCATACATTTTTGGCCAGAAAGTATAAAGTTTCGCGCATCTTCATTATTTTTATTTGGTGTTTCTCTCGCCAGAAAATCCCCCACCCACTAACCGTGGTTTTGGGTAAAATCAGGAGGCCGACAGAACTCCCTATTACCTGACCGTAAAACCCACTGAACCATTTTTTGTTTGCTTCAATGGCTGCACTTCGGGCTGGAACACAAGATTTTTTCGTAATGCTTTCGAACCTACCGCGGTCAGGTTTTTTGCTTGTTTCGACGGCTTCGAGAATGCTTTCTAATCTACCGCGGTCAGTTCTGAAGATGGGCTTCCACTGGATGGCGACGATCAAGAGGACGATGAAGAGGATCACGACGTGCATGAAAACCGTTTTCTTCTTCGCGTGCAGCATAGGTTTTTCGTAGAAGTGATGACAGGCAGTTGCGAGCAGAATTGTCACCGGAAGCGCGATGGTCCAGACTGAAAAGTTGTCAAGTTCTAGTGAAGTGGCCGATGAAGAAATTACCTGGAATCGACTCAAAATACCGCGGCTGTAGATGTTGCGCGTATTTGAGCACGGGATAGTGGATGAGGTAGAGGGCATAGGAAATGGTGGCGACGTAATTCAGTCGAAAGCGCGACCAATCGATTCGACTAAAAAAACAAAAATTGATATATGATGTCAAACACACTAATACTTTTCACTACGTCAGCTTTTCATAACTTGAAATGACCCACTCGCTATAGGAAGAAACCATCAGAAAAATGGACACGATCGCGGGAATCGCAAATTGTGCCAAATTCCGCGGCCCGAGCTCAACAATCGTGTTCGGCAGAAAGATGGCAAAAACTGGGATGACGAGCCCGATTGTCGCGAAATCGACCAAGCGGCCGGAAGATCTAGGAAAACGGATTTTCAGTGCTTTTCGAAGGGACCAACCCATATTTCGTCTCCTCCTCTGAGAAGTGGCTGGCCAACATGCCGGCCAAGAATTGCCAAATCCTCGCGAATGGGTGGTAGAATGCGGTGATTGGCGTCGAGCTCCATTGGAAATAGAGTGATGACACGAAAATCAAGCCGGCAAATAGCACACCGACGGCTAGAGCTAAATTGCCGGTTCTGGGCTGTTAGCAGGGGGGGGGATTTGTAGCGGGGGGCAAAGCCGCTTTTTGTTTTCAACCTATACCTAAGTGTTGTTAATAAATGCTGTAATTTAATAGTGTTTTTAGTAGTTTTTGATTGCTAAAAAGGCTATAAAGGCTAGAAAAGTGAATAGCTGCTTTGCCCCCTGCTATAAATTCCCGCCCCCCCCCCCCGCTAACGGTTCAGAACCGAATTGCGGTGTTCAAAAAATTGGCTCGAATAGCTTACATGCAATCTTGCACCGAGTCAGGTAGTATAGACACGGAGCCACCAAATAGAACTGCATCTCGACGCCCAGCGACCACGTATGCAGAAAGGGAAGACTTTCAGTGCTCTGAAGAAAGAAAATGTAAGTTTTGATGTCAGGACAACCTCGGCAAAATAGTCCCCATCACTCGCGTACAGCTTCAGATTCAGATGCATCAAAATGACGCTCCAGAAATGGGGGGAAGAATTGGGCCAGCCAGACGCCGCTGTACACAAAGCCACAGGAAATCACTGGAAATGTGACGGTGAATGGTGTTTGTGGTTTCAAACGGTCGTACTGTGCTATTTCGAGTGGGGCAAAAAAACTGTGCGGGGGGAAGGGAGTCGGTGAGCTACTTCTTTTTGCCATGACTATTTTTATAATACGTTATTCAGAGTTGTAATTAGAAGCCTAGAATAAAACTCCTCGTATCATTTTTGACGCTCGTTCAAATGACGTTGAAGAAATTTTGTAAAAATCTAGAAAATGTCAAGAACTACTTTCGACTCTACGCTCACATATATAAATCATGTTTAAAACTATTTTATATTACGCTATTTTTAGATGAAATTAAAAATCTTAGTAGATTTTTTAATGCTCTATCGAATCCTGTCTCCAAAATAACAAAAAAAACTAGCATGCCAGCCCCAGTTTCAAAAGCAATTTTTGTGTTGCTCCGACTTTTTTCGATGATACCAGGGTTGAAAAGCCGCTTCGCGACTTTTCAACCCTGGCCCCGTCTAACCCCATTTTATCCTTCACTTTGCATAATTGTACTGAATTCAGATGACAAAAAATGAAAAACACCCTCGTCTGTGCATTTATATAGTCAAATCACTACTTCCGGTCTATGCTAATTATTTCCTAACATCGAAGCTTCCACAAAAACTTAAATTTAATGTCGAAAATGGCTGACTTTGTAAAATTTGATATGTGTGCAGTCATCTCCAGACCATTGCGCACCTAATGACGTATCAAACATACCCGTAACTTCCTTCCCTATCGGGATATCCTCCGGACAGACAGACGGAAGTGGATGCAAAGTGGCACACACACACAGACACACACACACAGACACTATTTTTTTATATATAGTAGGATTATTGTCAGCTAAAAGACAAACTCCTAGTAGATTTTTCGAAGCTCTATCAAATCGCGTTCCAAAAAGTCCGAGAAAAGAGCGAAAGTAACGAAGTCCTGCTCAATCAAGCTTTCCCCCGCACAGTTCCCCCCCCCCCCGCTCGAAATAGAACAGAACCGCCGGCTGTTATTCCACACCGGAAAATCATCCCTAAAAACACCCACCGAAGGCGAACAGAATCATATAGTAGAGCGGACAGATGCGTTTGATGCGTTTGTAATAGAAGTCGGCCAGTTTCCCTTTTGGGGGCGACTTGTCAGCAGACAATATTCCCATTATCAGGTAGCCGGAGAGGACGAAAAATCTATCGAAAAGGTGATCGCAAAAGATCATTCCGCCCACATGTCAACTCCGATGAAGCCCAGTCCAAATGTATCCGGCCAAAAGTGGTAGCCGAGCACCGAGATGATGGCCAGCGCGCGGATGAAGGCGATGTCTTCGCGGAACTTCCGGCTGGTAGGAGTCAGCGCTAAAAAATCTATATATGTTGAATTTTTTTGGAGGCACACCTGTATACTGGATACTCGAACTCGGCGAGCCATCGGTGCCCATTAGGGCTAAATTGCGTTATATGGTCACTAAACGGATCTTGGATTTTTATATACCAAAATGCTCAGCAGTTCGAGCTGGTTCAGGATCAGTTGAAAAAACTATTGGGAAACACTTCTGGAGCGAGTTATAACACTTCAAAGTTGGCGAGTGTCGTATATGGTCACTAAACGGATTTTCGATTTTGATATGTCAAAATGCTCAGCGGGCCGAGCTGATTCTAGAACAGTTGAAAAAACCTTTGGGAAATACTTCTGGAGCGAGATATACTACTACAAAGTTTGGCGTCACCCCGGCCCACTACATAACATTGTCGCCCCGGCGAGTCAGTTTTCGGTGTTGCGAAAAATGGTTGGGTTCGAAATGGGTTTGGCATGAAACTACACACCCGATCTGAGCCTAAAAATAAGGCTTCGTGCCACCGGGGGCCTAGTCGCTTCGGATGGGTGCGAGCTCGTACAGGGTTTCGAAATCGGGGCGCCCGAGGAGCGCGAAGCGCCCAGGCGCCCCGATTTGGAAAGAGTGGAGCGGCAGCCCATCCGAAGCGACGGCCCACCTTGCCTGACAATGTATTTTTTTACCCTTGAAACGGCAATTCTCCACCATTCCGTTTCTTTCCGATGTACAGTTGGCGTATTTTGGTGTACTACGTACTACTTCAGGGGCTGAATGGACGGTTTGTAAGCTAAATATCTCGCGACAGAGATTTTTCCCAATAGTTTTTTCAACTGTTCTAGAATCAGCTCGACCTGCTGAGGGTTTTGACATATAAAAATCGAAAATCCGTTTAGTGACCATATACGACACTCGCCAACTTTGAAGTGTTATAACTCGCTCCAGAAGTGTTTCCCAATAGTTTTTTCAACTGATCCTGAACCAGCTCGAACTGCTGAGCATTTTGGTATATAAAAATCCAAGATCCGTTTAGTGACCATATAACGCAATTTTCCCCCCATTAGTTCCGAGCCTTCGGAGGGCCTATTAACAAATGTACAGCGTGATAACTTCAGAGCACCCCAGCCGGCCCCCAACTTTTGTAACTTGACCCCCTGTTTATCTAATACTTCGGGGTAAAAACTAGGAAAGCATCACCTTTCTGGGCTGGAAAGGAACCGAATGAATTGAAGTGACGACGTTCCAATCGGCCAATTTATGCGCTGCAGCGCCGTATGGAAATTACGACGATGCAAATCCGAGACCATCGCCTGGGTTTTAGCATGAGACCGTCGCGACAGTGTAGTTCGACGTAACGACTGATCGGAGTAATGATTTTTAAAAAGTACGTCTTTTAGAAATCAATGACCGAGGGCTCCGAGAAAAAATGCAAACGAATGCTTCTTCTTCGTTGTTCACGACACGCGAACAGTAGCGGTACGAGTCAAGTGTGATGCCCGCTCCCTTATCTAGTCCCCTGTGGTCCCCGCTCCCACCGCCCGGTTAGCTCAGTCGGTAGAGCACCAGACTCTTAATCTGGTTGTCGCGGGTTCGAGCCCCGCATTGGGCTTACTTTTTGCTTTTTGGTCCTAGGGCTTGGATCTCACTCTATTTTGAAGTTACAATTGTGGGCATGCGATATAATTACGATACAATGCCATACGGTTTGTTATCATGTGTAAGACATTTATTACTTTTCACGCGTGCATAAAACAGGCTTCGGGTTACATCGTGGTTAAAATCGTCTTTATGGATTGGTTCGATTGGTTTTTCTGCCCACCCTCACGCTGGTGCTCCTAAAGTTAAAGGTTTTGAAAAGCGCCAATCACTTGCCAATCGTTCTTTGATCGTCTGTTGAATTTTGGCAAATCGTTCACGCGTCTCGCGGGCAGCATAATCAGAAGAGCCGTTTTCAACGTGTTTGCAGATGTCGCCGTAGAGGTACTGTAATTTTTTAATAATAAAGTATTTGCTAGTAAAACGTAGCAGCAACGGATGATACTTAGCAACTACTTTTTAGCATTTTAAACTTGCCAATTGTTTCATCAGTTTCATCAAAGGGCGTGCGATTTGAAGCATCGATTCTGGGTCGGATGCGTAGATGGCTTTCGTTTCTTCCAAAAGACATCCTCTCGTGCCAAACCTGAAGATTCCATTTTTTTAAATAACGTTACTGACGTCAGTAAGAAAAACGGGGCGGTGGCTGGGCGGTTGTTCAAGGCGCGCAACTGTCGTGTGACTGCCGGTCGACTCGCACCAACCACTAGAACAAGATCATCAAGGTTTGTCTTTTTTCTTTCTTTTGTCGAAGTATGCAACGAATTTTCATGCTACCCTTTTAACGGGAGGACAGCTATTTTTTCATTTTTATTCTTATATTTATTCCCTACCTGTTGATAATCATTAGAGTATTTTTACAAAGTTTTTTTGCTAGTTTCTGATCGTTAAAACCTTACAGAAAAATTTAAAATTTTTATAAAAAACGTTAAAAAAATTGAAATTTTTGACCTTTTTTTGGCCATCTATGCATTTTTGAGAAAAAAAATCAAAACACTTCAAAATTTTTTAGTTTTTAGAATAAAGTCTTTATATCTATACTGTGTAAAATACTATAAAAATGATTTAACTTAATGTTTCATAATGTCCAAATTTAAATAAGCTAATTTTCCCGAAAAAACCAAAAAATATACCTCTCCAAAAAAATATCGACATTCTGAATTTCGACGTTTTGAAATTTCGACATACCGTATAGACATTATGGATTTTCGACAATATGAATTTCGACATTATGATAGCAAATCGGTATTTTATGTTCAACTCACGCCCTGTCAGTGTCGCATTATATTCGTCAGCAATGCATCCGAATCGCTTGTTCCAATCGCTTATCGAGCAGACGAGGTACTCTAGAGGATGATTGGCTATATTTTTGGCTAATTCGCCATCTACCGTCTTTGTTCACTTCATATTCATCATCCTCATCAGTCGACAAAACCGGTGTCCAGTTGGGGTGTGATTCGATACGGGAAAAGGCGTCGAGCATGTTCAGTTTTTTACTGAATGCATCACGAGTCTGGCAAAGCATCAGTTCGCGGACTTTCTGAAGGGATTAATGAAACAAACAAAAATTTTCGCTTTATCACCAAGTTAAAATCACTTACGGCAAGCAAATTATTGGGGTCATACCAGCTGCAGACACCCTCAAGAGATCCCTTCGCACTATCACCCAATAAACCCTCGCGCAAAAAACTTTTCGACCTTTTATCGATATACTAAATTGGGAATTTTCTATTCGATTGATTTTGGGCTACCTGCAGCAATGCAGTGCGCTTCGGATACGCTACTAAATACTTCTCCATCCCTCCAATCAGGTCGTCATTAAGGAATTCGCCGAAAAGTTGGACGGATCCCTTTGTCTTGTCGAAGGAGGAGGGCTGGAAAAGGCTGGGTTCAAGCTTCAAAATCCTACAATCCGCGCGACCACAAAATTTTCCCTACCGTTTTCCCGGATTTTTTGGCTTCGTCGACGCGTTCGGCGAATTTTGCTGAATTCGCAACAAACGCATCGAATTCCGGCAACATTTCCCCAAAATTGGCCAGCGTCCAATTTTTTTGCAAGATAGAGCCGAAGACTTTTGCTCCAGGGTCGGTCGTTTCTTCAAAATATTTGTGCAAATTTTAATATGTAAATAAATGTAATAAAACATTAACTCTATCATTTTTCGATAACGCAGAATCTTCCAAATTTACCTTCATTAATATCCGCGGTTGCAAGGTTTAGCAATCCGAGGATAACGGCAACCCGCAATAAAATACTCCATAGATGCATCCCTGAAAAGTACGACTTTTAGAAGCAGAGCTACCGAAACCATAGAAATATTTATATTTGGAGTCAAATAATCAAAGACCGAAAAAACTGCGGCTGTAGAAAATCTTGCGCCAATCGCCCGGTTGACCGTAGATGCCCCAGATCTTTGCAAGGCCAAAGGCGCGTTCGATAAAATCAGAGAAGATCCACCGTAACGGGAGTCATGCAGGAAAACATTTAGCTGCATAGTACTAACATCAATCAAGATTGGTCTTACGTTGCCAATTTTTAGCAAACCTTCAATGTTAAAGATATCGATCAGTCTTTAAAAGAGCTCAACGAAGCACGCAAAAAATGAATTCATTAGGCTTACAGTAGTGATCAAAAAGATGTCTCTTCGGGAAATCCTTTGTTTTTCGGAAGCCGCGTGTCCAAATTGAATGAAACGTCGTGCCTAGGTCAATCCTGCTATGGGGAATCCGATAGCAACATTGAAAGCTGCTTAAAATTTGATTTTACTGGTCAAATATCGATTTCAAAAAACCGGCAAAATAAACTTTGTAATGAAGGATTTTTGGGATTCAAAAAGGTGTCCATCAAATATTTATTTCTCTATTATTAATTATTAAATTAAACGAATGAATTGGCAGGGATAATCAGTGGGATCTTGAGGCGCTTCCGAAACGTTGCAGACGTCGCAGCTTTCTCTTCTCCAAGTTGTAAGCCTAAAAGGAATCGAATTTAGTACAATGGTAATTCGCTTATCTTTCCGATCTGATAATCAAGATTAATAAAGCAAACACTTACAACTTTGGCCTGGGTATGATTGACGATCGTGCGAATTGCCTGGCGAGCCGGTATTCCTATATCGACGAACCCATGCGGCTTCACATTTTCCATACCGCCATCGAGGGCCACGTGGCGGCAGATTTCGGTAGCGAGGAACTGAAAAAAAATCAATCGGCCTATACCATAACAAGTTTCCCCTACCATCAACTGGACGTCTTTGATGGTTTGACGGGCGGTTTCCATAAAATATTCGTCATCGAGCATGTGGGCGGGCTTCACCTGGTCCAGCACGCAGAAACGCGAATCGTTTCTTAAAAAGCAATAAAACAAGAAAATTCCGGAACTCCACTATTTTCTACATTATTGGTTCTTTCGCATTATCAGGGGGAGGGAGAAATTCTTTTCATAGGTACCAATTTTTGAAAATATAAATAGTCCGTCTTTCTAAACTGTTTTTTACTAATCATAAACGCAAAAACTTGACAAAACTTTATTAAACGAGTACAAAAATATCGACTTTTCGACCAAAAATGGCGTTTTTTTACTAAAATTTCGACTTGTGAAAATTTTTGCCAAGTTTTAGATAGTTTTTCTAGTTAAAATATAGATTTATTTTACTTTCTGTTAAGTTACTAGGCATTTCTAGACTGATACAAAAAACTTCTTTGCCCCTCTCCCCCGATAATGGTAAAGAACCGAATTTTTGTGTCTGCGCCTCCCTCCTTTGAGCAAGGTAAACTAGCGCGCGAAATCCAAATAAAATTGAAATTGCCGACAGAGTGCTAATGTTTAAGCGAAAAAAAAAATTCCACCCTCACCTCTTTTCAAAATGGCGAGTCTTGTAAATGAGCTTCCGTAGCGTTGTTTCCCGGCCTAGACCTTCCCCTAAATTAAGAATGAATATTTTTTAGCTTCCCAAAATATGCTATATAATTCCAACTTACAACTCATCAACGTAGCGGCCGCCGATTCGACGCCGGCCTTGAACTGGTCATCCGTTTTGTCCCTGCGCTCGGTAGCGCTCAGAATAAAACCTAGGCCTTGTGTTGCGTAGCTAATCGGTAAATTACGTTGTTTATATTCTTCATATCCATCGTCCTCCTCAGCTGATGGTGCCCCTCCCCATTTCTCGTGGTCTTCAAGCAGCGAAAACAGGTCGAGCAATTTTTCGGTTTGGTTGAGGTGAACGGGTTCAAGCGGCGCACAATCGAGCATTTCGTCGATAAGACCCTTAAAGAAGGGGTTGATTAGGCGGAAGAGTTGGAATCCCCTTCCCTTTTCCCCCCTGTTCCTTGCCTCTGTACGACGCGCAACTCGTGGCGCCCGTACCCCATCCTCTCTCCACCCGCCGGCCCACCAAATTCTAGTGAGCCTGGCGTTCGTCTCGTCTTTTTCGTGTCTTCCTCTTCCACCCCCGCCCTTTTTCCACTCTCTCTTTTCTTTTATTAATTCCCCTGTGTTTTTACGTTTCCGTTCCCCGCCTTCGCCTTTATGTTTTTCACCCACGTTAACCTAGGTTTTCGTGTTCTCCCGTTTCCCCGCTTCTTTTGCCTTTCGTTTTCCCCACACGTTGGCCCAGGTCTTCGTGTTCTTTCTTCCCGCCTTTTTGCCTTTTATTTTCCCCCACTTCGACCTCGGCTGTTGTGGTTTTTAGCCTTCGCCTTTCTGTATTTCCACCCCGTCTCATTAACCCTCTCCCTCTCTCTTCTCTGTGTATCCTCCCCCCGTCTGTCGAGCTCATAACTTTCGTCTTCATGAGATGAAGTTTTGAAATCTCGGCGTAACTTTTCCTTCTCCCCCACTACTTTTCATTCTCCGTCTCTGCCCCCTAGTTTTATCATGTAATAAACTTCTAACACTCTTTTGCCCACAACGCGTTGAGCATTTGAGCTTCCCCACACGCCTTGACATTCTTCTTGTTGTGGTTTCTCGGTTGTGCCTCGCTTGTTAGCTTGGCACATACCTTCTTGCGTTTCCTCCTACATAGGAGGTGGGGGCCGAACAACCAGCCAACCCCTGGGGCCTAGCGAAAATAAAGCTAGGTTTCCCAACTGAAGGCAATATTGGAAGAAACAATGTATAGGGTGATCACAAATATCACGCCGCGCGCCAGCCGGCTGCAGACGTGCCCGATTTTTATGAGATAGGTAGCTATCGAAAGCTCTCAAAAACACGATTCCAGCGCGTCACTCCGATTTTCGAAATTTCGAATTTGCGAGCAAAGGCGGAAAAATGCCGGTATTGTAATTTTTGTAAAAAACTTTTTGTCAGAAAAGCGTCAGAAAATCTGACCTTTTCGCAACAATATTAGTCAATGTAAGATTTGCAAAAATTTGGGAATGGGAGCGACCCGCTGGAATCGCATTTACGAGAGTTTCGGTCGATAGCGAAATCTTGAAAATCGGGCAAGACTGCGACCTGCCAAAGGAGGGGATTTTTTAAGACATCCTGTGGTAAATCTATAATGACAATCTTTTACCTTCAAGCTTTCTTCCGGTTGGCGGTCCATGCACTGTTGCTCCAAATATTGAGGCTCTTTGCCTTTTTTATCATACAGTCCCGTTAGGAAAAATTTCGGATTTTCGTGGAGCCGCTGAAAAGAAGGGATGCAAATGAAAATTAGGCCCTAGTTTTCAAGCCATTAAAATTGTATAAATTTACACCTTGTTCTTCTCGGATCGCAAGCCGTCGGTGACCAAATATTTGTCGATAGGCAGATCGTGGCTGCCAAGGTTCCAAAAGCCGGCAAAGACCACCATTTCGGGCTCTACATTGTCGAGCTAAACGTGTCAATAGCAAAGTATAACATTCGGTTCTGTTCTATTTCGAGCGGGAAAACTTGGCGGGGGGTTTCTTGAACAGAACTCCCAAATTTCGCTGGTTTATAGAGGATCAAAAAGTATACTAAAAGTTTTTGGTTTTAGCTTGGAAAAATGGAATAAAAAAAAAGTTACCGCAACACACAAAAATTACTTTTGCACTAGAGCTGCATGCTGGTTTTCGAGATTTTCCTGATTTTTCGGTATTTTAAAGTAACTAATCGATAGAGCATCAAAAACTAAGACGAGAGTTTAAAGTCATCTCAAATAAGTACAATCTAAAATAGTTATAGCAAAAACAAAATTTAAACTGGTTTCCACATCGGAGCATAGTGGTGTCGGACAGCACCCCAAGAAACGCACCCGGGGTGCGTTTCGGCCCCACAGGCGGCAAAAATAGAAAGGAAAGCCGAGAAATAAAAGTATATTTGGAATAGAAATACTGCAGAAACCCTTCAATATGCTATTCTTGCCTTATATCATACTCCAATTACATCCTATTAATTTTTATCTGTTCGATTTTTGGAAATCCCGTAAATAATTTCCATGCTTTTTGCCAAAAGTATGAGCAAAAACATTTGAAGCCCCGATAAAATATGAAAATTGTACCATAAATCATTTAAAACTCCAACACAGCCTAATAAATATATCTTACTGAAAGCGGAGCCGTCGGAGGGCATCAATTCTGTATATAAAACATATCTGTAATATTCCTATGCCAAACATAATTTTATTTCTCGGCTTTCCTTTCTATTTTTGCCGCTTCTGGGGCCGAAACGCACCCCAAAACACACCCCCAAACGCACCCCGAAACGCACCCCGGGGTGCGTTCAAAGGCACCCGGGGACACTATTAATGCACCCCCGAGGGAGTGGGGTGTCTTTCAAACGCACCCCGGGGTGCGTTTCAAACAGACCCCGGGGTGCGTTTGAAAGGCACCCCGGGTGCGTTTCAAAGACCCCCTGGGGTGCGTTTCAAGGCACCCACCCGGGGTGCGTTTCTTGGGGTGCTGTCCGACACTAGAGCAGAGAAACCTTCAAAGGCCATTCAAAAGCGCGTCAAAAATATATACTAAAAGTTGTAATGAAAACTCTCAATAATGTCTTATAAAATAGATATAGCAAGAAAAGTAGTCAATCGCAACGAGCCCTCCCCCACATGATTTTCCCCCCACTCGAAATAGAACAGTACCGAAAATTTCAAAGAGCATAATTCCGTCCTAAACCCACCGCAGTCCCATTCTTTCTAGTTTCCACGATAAGCTTGGAAAGCTTCTCCGACAATTCGACAAATTTTTCCATGTCTTCTCGAAGTTTGTAGATGTTGGACGAGGTCCATTTATGCAAGGAGACGTTTCCATAGACTTCGCAGGCCAGTGTTTTTTTGCTTGCCGCGTCTTGACATCTCGCTATAAAGATTCTTAAAACTTAAAATTCTATTAATAGCTATTAAATTTAAAATTTACAACTACAGAAAATAGCTAAAAATGAAAACAGCAGCTAAAAACATCCGTTTTGGCTCCCAGACCCACGTAAAAATTACGGAATTTTACGAGTCTCCAGGGTTACAAGGCAGTGACTTACTGCCAACAAGCGTGGTAGTATCCCCAAGGTCGCCAAACAAGCCGAAAAACGCATCACACGCGTTTAACAGCACTAATACACAGATGACGTGACGAATAGAATAATAGAGCCACATTGCAGAATGTGTATACCGAAAAGTAGCTCTGCTACCAGCGATACCAAACAGAATCGTGCATCAGATAGCATAGCCGATCGCCGCATCCGATAAACGACTTCCTAAGATCAAGAGCGCCTAGGGGAAGTAGGGCAACCAAGGGGTGAGCTGGAAAAAATGTTTTCTTTCGAAACCAAAGGCCCGCTTTCTGTTTTCCGTATTTTGTGGAACGCTTCTCTCGCGCTCTTTCTCTCGCACTTTCTCTCTCACGCTCTTTTTCTCGCTCTCTCTCCCTCTCAATCGCTTTGCTCTCTTTCGCTCTTTCTTTCTCTCGCTCTCTCCCTCGCTCTCTCACTCTCTCCCTCCCTCTCTCTCTCACTCTCTCTATCGCACCCTTGTCCGTCATCTTTTCAGAAATTTCAGTTCATCATGCTGCTGTTCCTCCCCGCGTTACTGCTTTTTGGCGTGACGATGGCGCGATGGATTGAGCCCAACATTTGTCCGACCATGCGACAAACCATCCGTGTCGATTTGCCAAGTCGTCATGTCAAATTTTTAGCGTTTTGTAAGGGGACTAGCTTTTTGGAACAGAATGTTCTTGTCATTTTCGAAATGCGTCAGAATTACCCGAATCGACGAGGGCTGCCTAGTTGCAAGTTCAAAGAATCGTAGCAACTAAACCATAGCCTCCCGGGTTACGTAAGAAACTTTTTTCGGGATTATTTGTGATGCCCCTCCTGCAGTTGCGTTTGACTTGGTTGATGTTCATTTATATTACGCATAATGGATAGATTAGGAGGCTGTTGGCTAGATATCAACTTTATCCACAATCGCGACTGGCAAAAAGAGTCATTGGCGAGCCTTTCTCCGCATTGTGCTTAGATAATTCTAGGTTGGTTTTGAATAAACTATGCTCAAACAGACCATCCTCGTTCGTAGATTTCTATAAATATCCGCAAACTTCTCAGCTGTGATCTGATCGATAAAATCGAACGCGCCTTTCTCCGCCACATCATAGCCGGCCACCGCAAGATAACGGCAAATATTTGCGTTATTATACTAAAACCATGATTAGTTTGCCCCCCCTATCTGCAGCAAGTCCTACCGCAATCTGTAGATCCTGGATCAACACGCGAGCCAGGGGCATGAACTTTTCCGGGTCCAAATGATTAGCTGGGTTCATTTGATCCAAAATGCAAAAGTCAAACGTTTCGGGTATCCTAATCTTTTATGTTCTTGTGCTGGAGGGAGGCTTACGTGTCAATTTCGGCAAACTGCCGAATGGTGGCTTGGTAAACTTCCGGCCGTTCCATGCCCAAGACTAATACGTCTAGAAGTGAAAAATGTGTAAAAACATACGTGATTTAACGAATTGGCTGGTCTGATTTTTTCGGCGGTCAGCTTCGCTTTGGTTCAGACGACGAGCACTTGCCCAAACTATAACCCCTAGAATTCGCGTAAAAATGTGAATAAACGCAACCATACTATTTTTCATGTCGTTGTAGTTATCCCTGAGGCTCTTCTCCGCTCGTACTAGCTGGCCGTCTCCCGAACCGAAGTCTAGAGAAAATGGTGAAAACGAGACCACGCCTGACCGGCTTTAAGGGGTTCTTCTGAGACATTATGGATAGGGTCAGTCACCGATGTGTTGAACGATGTTGCATTGCCGTTCGCCGGCCGAAAACGATATCCTGATAGTAAATAATAATGAAGTTTGAAATTTCGGCTAGCCTTTACTTTACCCTTAGCCAAGGTTTCCAACATTTTTCGAGATTTCCACTATTTTGCCGGGATTTTCACTACTCCAGCCGATAGAGCATCAAAAAATATACTAAGAATTTTAATTACAGCCCAAAATAATGTAAAGTAAAAAATATAAAGCGAAAAACTTTTGGGAACTTCCGGCTGGGGGGGGCAGATAAACCAAAGGCTAGCCGAAATTTCATTGAGCTGGTACCATACTGAAAAGAGCGAACTCCTGAATTATGCACTACTCACCCTTCGAAAGCATTGCGGAAATTTCTTCTTCCCCGTCATCGTTAACGCCCCAGCCGGCCTCAACCTCGTCAAACCAACCAAGCAGCGCCTCCATTTTTTGCAGATCACTTTCTGCCAGGTCTTGGCATTGCAGGAGCGTATTTACCATTTTCTATTTTTTAAAGATATTTGTTTCGAGCCGTTTGGCAAGTGACTAGTAAGTGCTCTACCTCCAAGGTTTTGTGTGGTGCTTGGTTTTGGCAGGCCGCCTCAATAAAGCTATCCCCATGGGTCCATAGTGATTTCGGCCGCAATTGTTCATAGAAGCCAATCCGCTGGCGGGCAAAGTCCTTTAGGAAAGAACCAGGGTTGAAAAGCCGCTTCGCGACTTTTCAACCCTGGCCCCGTCTGGTCATATTGAAGTCGTCACTTTGCATGAGCTCATGAATTCCGATGAAAAAATGAAAAACGCTTGCTCTGCCCCATTATATAGGTTAGTGCCCCTTCCGGTCAATGCTAATTTTTTCCTAACACAGAGGATGCCCGAAATTTTTACAAAAACTGAAATTTAGTGTCGAAAAGATCGGATTTTGTAAAATCTGATAAGCGTGCAGACATCCCAGAGCCATTACGCACCTAATGACGTATCGTACGTACCTTAAAACCCCTCCCCTCTTGAGATATCCTCCGGACATGGTGACGGAAGTTGCATGCAAAGTGGCACACACACACAGACACTATTTTTTTATATAAAGTAGGATGGCCGTAGAAAACGCTTTTATTAATTGTAACCGTTTTTTGGTGATATTGGGCTTTCGATATGCGAGACAGCACATCTTGTTTACTGTTTAGAAACTGTCTTGAAAACGGTTTTTAGCTCCATGACCGTAAATTGTACAAACTTTAAATCCTTCAAACTTACTTACCTTGAGCTACGGGTCCGTGAGATAGCCCATTCCAAGTACAGGGTATCGCAATAAATAACACTCTTTCTAACTCGACGCAGAAGTATCGGATCGGATTGAAAGTTGCACCATTCGAAAGCCCTTGAACCGGCGAGTTTGCAAAAATCTTCAAAAACGTGTTTTAATTTAAACGCGCCTGTTTCCAACCAATTGAAAAGCATTAAGGAACGGCCGTCGCAGCTAATTAACGGCTACCTCCGGTGATTTTGCTTCACGAAATTGAGGCAAATTGGCTCGTATGCAACCCCGAAAAACCGCAAAATTTTACGAAATGGCTTGTAAAATAGCGGGTTTAAAAATTGAAGGTCGATGCAAACTCGTTGTTCCAAGGGCTTTCGAATGGAGTAACCATCATTCCGATTAAATGCAATCAGCGAAAGATTCTGTACAAGATGTTGCTATGTCACGTATCGAAATGCTGCGTTCACCAAAAACGGTTACAGTAAGAATGCAAACGCCGGGGAGGGCCAACGAGAATGAACCTTCTAGCGACTCAAAACTCACCTTATAAAACTCCCGTATCACTTCATTACCCAGCACGATCGATTCATCGATTTTCCTGTGATCACGATTTGTCCTTAAAGGATGCAGCAGGGCCGTCCAGGAGCCAAGGCTCTAAAGAGATGCTGAATGGGCGCCGAAAATGTCGACAAGCTAATCACCTGAAAGATTTGCCAAAACCGACCGAGCGATACTCCCTTCTTCTCGCCAGGATCAATTCAGCGAGCTTTTCGCTATGATGGAAAAAGTCGATCACACGTGAAGGCAGTTTTCCGAGGTCTTCCTTGTTCCAATCTGTTCGGTAGAAGTCAGTATAGACTAGGCAACCCGGGTCATCACCTATAAATTATGGGTTTTGCAAATTTGATATTCTGCTTTTGTTTCGTTTTTGGGCACTTCGTAAGGTTCAGAGTGTGGGTGATGTAAGGAGATATGTATCGCCCCACGTAGGCGTTTTTCGCCTGCGTTATATTACACCTCCCTACACCTCCCAGGGCCCCAAGCTTTACCAATTTCGAGTTTTTCTTTGCTTTGCGTCGCTGGAAAACGACCCGGAAAATTACAATGCGCAGTATCGGCCTTAAAACCAGGGTTTTTTCCTTCCTGCCATACCACAACACGTCGTCTCATAAGAGCTGCCGGCTGCTTTAATCAAGACGCAAAAAAATATCAAGCGCCAGGACATGATGATCTGGAAAATTATGCCAGGTTGCAAAAAGCAATTAACTCAAGTCGAATGCTTTTCGAATACAGCCTAGAGCTCAAATGTTTAAAGCGAGAATATTTCAATAGATAAGGCACGAATTGTTTTATACAGTTAAAGTGTTCCATCTGCACCATGCAACGGGCCAAATCCATAACCCTTTCTTGCCCAGGGACAGATGCTAATCGCAAGCAATATCCATCGGCGGATCCAAAGAGGCCGGTCGCTCCAGGGTCAATTCGTAGTATACAGTGCGTCTCAAAAAACATACCACCTCTCTAACTCGGTCGGATCAGAATGATAGTTACAGCATTCGAAAGCCCTTGAAACGGCGAGTTTGCAACAATTTTCAAAAGCACGTTTTCATTGAAATTGTTAGCGCATTTATAAGCGTTAAGGAACCCCGACTGCCGCTAATTAACGGCAACTTCCCATGACCTTGCTTGGCGAGATTCAGGCAAATTAGCTCGTATGCAACCCGTAATAATGGACAATTTAACAAAAGGGTGGGGTAAAATAAAAATAGCGGGTTTAGACAAAAACAAGATTTAAAAGGATTTTTCAAGTTCGCCATTTTAAGGGCTTTCAAATGGTGTAACTATCATTCAAATCCGATACTTCTGCGTCGAGTCAGAGGGATTTTTATTCGGACACCTTGTAGTAATTTTTAAAAACCAAGTAATTGAATTTTTGGAAATATAGGTCTTCCGTTTTATGGAATTTTTAGTTAAATTTTCATTTTTATTGTGTATTCCAGAACGTTATGGTCCGCGGATGGCTGATACATCTCTGCGTATTGGCCATAGGAGCATCAAGCTGGCCGGCAAGCCATAGCTCTTACAAATGTGGTCCAATAAAAGGTCAGCGTACTTCAA